ACTTTCCAACTCATTCTAGAAGGCTAGCAAAAACTCCTTACATCAATACTGGAATAATGCTAGTATGACAAATTATAAAGCAATCTCAGACGGACATGAGAATACTAAGTAAAATATTAGCAAACTGAATCTAGTAGCATGACCAAGCTGAGTTAGTCCTACCAAAGCGAGGATTATTCTATATATGACGTATATTAATATAATTCATTAAATTATATTTTTAAAAACATAAACTTCCATACAAACATGGAATTAAACATATATTCCAGATTTTATTTTTTAATAACCTGACTAGAAATAGAAACTGTCTTAAATTAGAAAAGGCGGAATGCTTTCTATTTAACAATGCTCTGGAGGAACCAATCAATGCTAATTAGACCAGAAAGACATTTTGTACACATATCAGAACAACATGAAACAATACTGACAAAACCATTTGCAGACTGCATTATCTATCTAACAAATCTAAGATAATTAACTGAAAAGCTGTTAGAATTAGAGTTCAACAAAGCAGCTAAAAACAAAATAGCAGCTGGGTTCAGTGGCTCACATCTGTAATCCCAGCACTTTGGGAGGCCAAGGTGGGTGGATCGGCTTGAGGCCACAAGTTCAAGACCAGCCTGGCTAATATGGTGAAAGCCCATCTCTGCTAAAAGTACAAAACATTGGCCGGGTGTGGTGGCACACGCCTGTAGTCCCAGCTACTCGGGAGGCTGACGCACAAGAATTGCTTGAGCCTGGGAGGCAGAGGTTGCAGTGAGCTGAGATTGCTCTACTGCACAAAGCAAGACTGTCTCAAAAGAAAAAGAAAAAAAAAAGCATAGCAGTTATACCAGTTAGAAAATAATGGAAATAGCAAGATAAGTAATAATAATACAACCCATAAAACATTTTAAAAGGTGCAAAGCCTATTCCTAAGAAGAAAATAAAAACTGTATTGAAAGGAGGGCCTTAAAAAAATCTATCTCAGTGGGAAGACTCAATACTGAATAAGCAAAAATAACAATAGCCAAGGAATGACCAAGACGTTTTTAAAATTAAGACTTGGAGAATTTTTGGACCAAATATAAAAACTTATCGGTATAGTGAATTAGATATTGGTACAGGCAAAAGATAAAAATTAGAAAAAGAAATCAATGAAATAAAACACAAACTGTGACGGAAGAATTAGCTAAATAGGAGTGACCCATGATGTAGAGCTTTGTAGGGCACATTATCCTAAAAGTGATTTATATTAAAAGTATATAAATGTAGGCACATTATCCTAAAATCAGTGGTGTCTTAAAATTTTATCCCATTGAAAGGATAAAAGGTTTATATTATTTGCTACTGTTGTGCTGCTGCTGCTGCTGCTGCTGCTGGAGGGTAGATGAAATCATGGTACTTCACAATCTGGCTACATTATGAAAATGAATTTGAGGCGGGGCAAGAGTAAATGTGAGACCAACAAAGAGGCAAAGAAATGATGAGAACTTAAAGGAGATTGGTGGAAAAAAGTAGAAAAACTCAAGGAATAATCAGGAGGTAAACTCAACAGGACTTGATGACAGTCTGTATACAGGTGTAAGGGACAGGAATTAAAGCAAATTTATAGATTTGCATTACTAGTTAGACACTAATTCCATTTTCAGACATACAAAGACGATCAGATTTGGGAAGGAAAGGTTATTCATTTAGTTTCAGAAATGCTGAATTGGAGGTATTATAATAAATTCTTAATAGTTACATGCTTTCAGATTTTAGAAATGCCAGATGATGTAAAATGCCTACATTTTTTTTTTTAGAAGCTGTTTCCACCTTCAAACAAATTCACATAAAGGACTGGAATCCAAATATCCAAAGCACCCAAAGACTATGTAAATACTAACAAATCACATGCTGAAACTGATGAACCCTGACACCAAATATTTTATCCTGAAGAATATGTCCCACCCAGCTTCCCTCATATCAGTAAATGACACCACTCACTCAGTTTCTCTAGCTCAAAGCTTAGGAGTCATCTTTGATTCATCTCCCTCACACTTCCATATCCGTCAGTGAGGGCTACTAACTGTAACTTCAAAATACCTCACGAATCCAAGTACTTCTCACAACTTCTATCACTGTCATTGTGAAATGAATGAACAAATTGTCTAGACTACTAATATAACTTAATAAAACTGGGGGGCTTCTATTCTTACACTCTATTAGCCATTCTCAACAATAGCCAGAGTAGCATTTTTAAAAATTAAAACAAAGAAATCCTGCCACTCTCCTACTCAAAGCCTACAATGGATTCTCATCAACCTTTGAACAAAATTGCCAAGAGACATCACAGGTCTACCCCTTCATCTTTTGTTCAACTCCAGAAACATCAGCCTTCTTGAAATCCTTGATGCACAAAGTTCATTCTTGACTAAGGACTTTTGTACTTACTCTTCCCTCTGCCTGGAATACTCTTCTCTCAGATAGTCATAAGGCTTGCTGCCTCACTTAATTGAAATCCATGCTCAGATGTCACCTTCTCAAAGAAGCCACCTTTGACTACCCTGTGTCAAATAGCATTCCTGCTGAGAAGCTGGGCGGAATAGCTTGAACGAAATCTCCTGCAGGTTTGCTGTGCTAGTCTGTCACATAATGCACATCTTACCATTAAGACATTTGAAACAACCAGATTGAATCTAACTAAAGTTGCAACCCAGGCTCAACTCTTGAGGTGATCAATCTCTATAATGCCTAAAAGAAAAAAGGGAAAATCTCTTGGGAGAAAAATCACATCAACTTCAATCCTTTAGTACTTTTAATTCAATGTCCTCAAATAAGAAAAAAGTTACAAGATCCATAAGAGGAAGGAAAAAATGTGACCAGGAAAATTTTGATTGATGTTCAATAGAAAAAACAGTTAAAAGAACGAGATCCACAAAGGACTGAGATGTTGTAGTTAATTCATACAGATTTGGACTATATAATTAAGAGAAAAGAGGAAAAGATGAGTAAAAAGAGACTTTCAACAGAGAACTGAAATCTATAAAATATTATTAACTGGACATTCTAGAACTGAAAAATACTCTTTTTTTTTTTAAAGACAGAGTCTCACTCTGTCCCCCAGGCTGGAGTGCAGTGCACTGTGTGATGATCTCAGCTCATTGCAACCTCTGGCTCCCAGGTCCAAGCAATTCTTCCGCCTCAGCCTCCTGAGTATCTAGGATTATAGGCACCCACCACCACACCCGGCTAATTTTTTATTTTTAGTAGAGACAGGGTTTCACCACATTGGCCAGGCTCGTCTTGAACTCCTGACCTCAAGTGGTCCACCCACCTTATCCTCCCAAAGTGCTGGGATGACAGGTGCGAGCCACCACACTGGCCTAAAAAATACAATATTTGAAATTAATAACTAATTGAAAAGTTAACAGGAAGAACGGACATAGCAAAAGAAATCTGAAGATGGATCAACAGAAATATACAAAATGAAGCACAGAGAGAAAAAGAGAGTGGAAAGAACAGAAAACACACTTAAAGGCAGATGGGATACAAGCAGTCTAACACATTTATAACTGGAATGTCAGAAAGAGAAAATAGTGTAGAATATGTGAAGAGGTAACAGCCAAAAATGTTTCAAAACTGATGAAAGACATCAACCTGCAGATACAACTGGTCAGTAAACCCCAAGCAAATTAAATAAAATGAAAAGCATACCTAGGCATACCATAGTCAAACTGCTGAAAACAAGAAATTAAAAAAAAAAAAAAGAAAGAAAAATGAACTAACATGATAGCACAAAACGATTCTTAAAAAAAGAACAGAGCGAAAACAGAAAATCTATGAGTAAATATGAGAACATGGACTATTCAACAAAGATATTGTGGCATTTTTATACTGAAAATAGACAACTTTAGCACAAAGGATCGAGAGGCAGATACAGCTGAATTGTTTTAAACTTTTTGCATTGTTCTGATGGTGGCAAAAGCATTAATCACAGACTACAATAAGCCAAACATAAAAACTGTAATTCTAAAATAACACAATCAGGTTTAACTAAAAAGCTAATGGAAGAGATAGAATAATAAAAAGCACTTAACTGAGCCAGAAAAAGGCAGGAAAGGAGAAAATAAAGGAGAGACTGGCATAAAAGAAAATAAATAGCAAAATGGTAGATTTAAAATCAACTATATAAGTAACTACACTAGAGCTTAAACACTATTAAAGAACAAAGACTCTCAGATGAAAGAACAAAATCCAAGTATAATATGTTTACATGATACACATTTTAACCATGAGAACATAAATATGTTGAAAATAAAAGGAAAAATTTTATCATGCAAACAATAGCTAAAACAAAACTGATATGGCTACATTAATATCAAGCAAAGTAGATTAAAAATATTCATAAAGATACCAAGTGACATTTTAAATTACAAACCGTATCACTTCATCATGAACATATAACAATCCTAAACTGTATGTTTCAAAGTATATAAAATAACTTCTCCATCTATCATTAGTACTTTCTATCCTGCTTTTCCTTTTTTTCACTGCATTGTTCACAACCTGACATTATATATTAATTTTTTTTCTTTTTTTTTGCTTATTCACCCACCTCTAATATAATGAAAGTACCACAAAAGCAGGGACTTATTCTATCTTGATCACACTTTATCCTCCGCAAAACTGAGTAAAATTTTTGAGTGCCTGGCACATAGTAGGCACTTAATAAATGTTTGCCAAATGAATTAATAAAACTGCGACTGGCAACTTATTTATTTAGTACTTATTTTTAAAGTTTATATTATACATTTATTTGGTTCAGTTACGCAATTATTTAACTTAATACTTAAAAAACCTCTGTCCGCCAACATTTTGCATGAGAAGTTTAAACAAAAGGTTTGGAAAAAGTTACTGAGACATGTTACCACTTCATGAAACAAAGGCTCCAAAATTAAAAATCATCAAATGTGCCTTTCTCCATTTAGTATTTAAATATATATGTTGATTTACATAAACAAAATAATACACTCACATTAGCTTTCATGTTTATTCAACTTCACAGAAATCTAAAAATGTGTCTGAAAATTGGTTATGTATTTAAATATCAATTGTTCATTATGGTGACATAATACTATGTGGTGGCAGAGATATGCCTAATTTAAACAAATTCTTAAATTCCTGACATTCTTACAAGTGGACAAAATAAAATCTTAAAAATCAAACTTACAAGTTATAAGAAGATATAGAAAGTAATTTAACCTTTAATACCTGGAATAAGTTTTACAGCCACATTTGTAATTTACATATACAGTGGAGATCACTGAAAAAGCTTCCTGTTGCACTGCAGCAAGACATTTTATTATAATGTGGATTAAACAAATTTGCTACAGAGTGCAGCAAGAACACCTCACTGAGGAATAAGATTTTCATAATGGAGCTTGTTACAGGGAGTTAAATATTTTCTTAATGTTATACAGTACATATTTTCTAAACGAACATTATCACTGAATAGTCTGCTAACAATTGTTAGCAATTAATGTTTAATACACACTTAATTTTATTGTAAAGTATGTGGCTTCTATAAATGTTAGTACATGAAATGTTAATACATGAAATGTTAAGTTTAAACGTAAGATAATCCCCTAGGATGGAGACTCGAGACATCAAAACTGTGATTATTGCACCTATTTCTCTACCAAAAAAAAAAGAAAAAGAAAAATTTACATCGTAATCCACCCAAAAAAAGAACAGACAGGTTGTAAAATTACAGACTCATTGGCATTGAACATAACAAAATCTACAATGAACATTTTTTTGTGAACTGCTGTACAGCATTACAAAAATGTGCAACGAAATTTGGTTAACTATGATCATGCAAATAAAAATCCTTCACAATCATTTTTTCGTATGTTTTATAAAATGTTCTTAATGATATATTTCCATAAACATTTCCGGTGCAATTTAATCAATGACAAAAATACAAAGCTATTCCTTATTCTTTATGTTATAGATTTTAAAACATGCCTTTGTACTGCTGAAACAGAAATTATGTGTTTGGGAAAACCAAGCTAAGGAACCATTTCAAAACCAATGTTATCTTAATCCAACCTGAGCTGCTTTTGATATATGACAGCCTCTCATAATTACTGGTGTCAGTATTGTTGTAAATGAAGAATAGTTAAATATGGAGAGACTAAGACACAATTCAAAACACTTTTTAAAAAATAAATGGCTGTTTCATAAACACGAACAAATCTTTAAAAGAAAAATAATCATATCAACTGCAGTATACATTGGCAAATAGTAAAATGTCATTTTCCAAAATAGTAGCTTCTTTATTATATGCCCCATCTATTATAACCAATCTTGGAAATATACCTTAAACATAATGGTGTATCATATGAAAATGTTCCACTATTCAATGTGATAAATTTAATAAGTTAGAATATGATTTTTATTTTCCTCTGGTGTTAACCATGAAAAAACATAACAGCACCTAAAATACTAAAATGAATTTAGGTCAGCATTAAGTAGTAACCTACATGTTTTGGTTCAAAATACAGTTTATACAACTGTACAAAGGATACCGCCTTAAGTAATTTATTTCTGTATTTTGCAGATTACAATGAAGGAAAAAAAAGACCTGCTCTAAATCCAAATAAATTTCCACTTCTCCCAATCTGGACAAAGTGGAATTTCATTCAAAGTTCACAAGACTGTGACAACTACAGTAGCTGATATAGTTGGATATACCACTTCTACCCTGCCCCACCCCCCAGAATCAATTTTTTGGCTCCAAAATAAAGTACAATAATAAACTCTTGATGAAAAACTATGTTATGGGGCAATCTATCATAGACTATGGCTAAATATGAATTTACAGAAAAGAGCACATCCCATTTTCAGCACTTTTTTTCATAAACATGCAACTCACTATAAAATACAAAACACTTGGCTTTCAAGAACAGCTTTATAAAGACACACTGCATCAATAAAATTTTTTCTTTCTGATTAACTTTACACTGTTATGGAGAACTGGAATTTTTCTAATGTGTATATATCAGGTTTTATATTATAGTGTAATTTGCATTTTTTGAACATAATGTTCAAGAGGAAATATCTATACACAATAACATTCTAGACTATTAAAAACTCATTCAAATTACAGAATTTTATTGATACAGTAGATTAATAAAAACTGAAAGGATGATAAAATGGGATAAAGAATTCAGTACATTATTTTATAACACACTCTTTAAAATTAAAATACTTTAAATCTTTCTTCTTAAAATTTTCATTGCCATGAAAGGCCAGAAAATTCTGGGACCAATCAATACTGAGGTGTACAGTCATCCAAGAACTTCAGGACTATTTCACAATTTGCATGGTTGTCCTCCTATCAGAGGCATCGTTCCGGTGTAATGGCAAACAATTTAGCACCTCTGAAGATTAAGGGTGCCCAGGAGTAAACACTAGGTAAGATACACAAGGGGAAGAGACCATTTAACTCTCCAACAAATAGTGACATCAAGAAAATGACACCAATTGTTGAAAAAAATTTTTTTCACAGTAAAATTGCAGAGAATACAAATACAAACACTGACAGATTACTGCTTAAGATCTATCCTAACAAATTCTTTTCAAATCAATAGATCCAATAAACAGTTGGGTACTGTCAGTTTAAAGCCGCAGATAAAAGCTATACAAGCACTTCAGAAGTCAGAAACATTAAAAAAAGAAAAAAGATATTTACAAGTTTCTTCTTTATGTCTACACAGCCATCGCACATTACACTTTCACAAGACTCCATAGTCAAGGTTATCATGCGTATGGCTAAAGCATGTGACCACAAATTGTATGGGGTCACCAAAGTAAGGTCCAACTGTCCACTCTTCAGCAGTCCCATTTTGTGCATCAAAGGCTTTATTCAGCCTCAAGTTTGACCAAAAAAAAAAAAAAAGATTTTTCCAAAGCTTTCACAGAGAAAGTTATTAATTACATTTGTTCATCGTCGTTCCCTTTTAGCACTTCGCCGCCGTACCTTAAAAGAAAAGTCACCAGATGCTTAATTAAAATGGGTATATGTGCATAAGATATGCAGTAATCATTTTTAACCAATCTTTATTCTCGTTTGTTCCTAATTTTCTTTGCTTTCCTTTCCCTGAAACTTTTTTATCCTTACTTTCTGCCCTGGCATCACATATTCAGACCTCTATAATATTTGAACCCTTACATGCTCACAGACTTTCCCAGAACAGCAAAAGAAAAAAACTATTTTACTTTTCTATCACAGAAGTCAATGTCTACAGAAAGAAAAATAACTCAAACAGATTAATCATCTTTCTACTTATGTTTCCTGTGGTAAATGAAAACATTTCACATTTATGAACTTACATTATCTTTCTGGGAAAGTAGTTACTGAGTTTGAATCTTAACAATTATCAATACAGTAAAATAACCTAAAATTCAAACATATTATCATTTACTGGCAGGCACTAATGAAAGCATAAAACTTTAGTTCAAAAAATGTCAATATTAACAATAGGAATATAAAAAAGGGTTTTAATTTACTATGTAGTTTTCTCTGGTGAAGACATAAATCGTTACTGACTCTTCAGCCTTCCTTACTTTGATGTCCCCCCAAAACCCTTTAAGAAACAAGCCAAATTAATTTGAGACCACAATTAAGCATATTTTCCTGTGTACTTAACTCACTTATTCACAAACATGAATCCTGGTACAGATAGGAGTTCTGATTCCATTAAATATGACAGAACAGTAGAGACCAATTCTGAGACTTGATTACAGAACTTGGGTTTCTCAAACAAAGATGGGAGAAGAGCTTCTACTTAAATGTATTATATTTTTTCATAAAAGAAATATCTGAGTTGTATTAACCGGTAAAGTTATTTATTTATTACTTTGAAAGTCAAGAAGTGCTGGGTGCAGCAGCTCATGCCTGTAATCCCAGCACTTTGGAGGCCGAGGCAGGCAGATCACTTGAGGTCAGGAGTTCGAGACCAGTCTGACCAACATGGTAAAATTCTGTCTCCACCAAAAATACAAAAACTAGTCAGGCATGGTAGCACTGGCCTGTAATCTCAACTACTTTGGAGGCTGAGGCAGGAGAATTGCTTGAATCTGGGAGGCGGAGGTTGCAGTGAGCCCAAATCGTGTGCCACTGCACTCCAGCCTGGGCCACAGAGTGAGACTGTCTCAAAAACAAAAACAAAAAAGTCAGGAAGTAACACATCCCTACTTTGCAAAATAAGTATGTATTACCAATTTTATGAATTCTCATTCAGCTCAAACTTCAATTCCAAAGGCTGATTTTATTCTGTGTAACTAACTTCTAATTTCTATTATGAAACCCAAATAGAAATACCAAACAGACAGTTGTAAAATATAAACAGTAGTATACTTAATGCGTATCAGTGCCCTAAAATCAAGGTACAACTTAAACGCTTAAAGTGTCAATATTAGAATGCTATACATTCAGTTCAGACTTGACATTTACATTCTCACTAAGCTACACCTATTTGCTTAGTTTCGGGTTTCCATAAGAGATGTTCTCCATTATCCAACCTGGTAGATGAAACGATGCTATAAACTAATGAAGAAAAATATATAAATACTTAGAATTAGACAAGTACTAAATGATCTAACCAAACATTTACTGTTTTTATATACCACACCACTCAAAGAAACTTTGAACACATACATTTACTGTAGAAACTTCCTCCTCCTCTGTTTCTTCCTGTGGAATATCATCATTGACAGGAGAGCTACCCTGAAACACATCTACTTCTTCACTTGAATCATTTTCCTTAGTAGCTGCTTGTTTGGAGCGTCCTACACGGCTAGAGTAAAACACATGTAAAATACAATGAACGTTCCAATCTTTCAGTAGATTACCTCATTAGAAGAAATGCTTCAAGTATTTCATCAATTGTCATATCATGTTTACCCTCAATTACTTTATGAGACAAGAACATTTCTTTAATATTCTGAATCCTACACTAGCATTTAATCACAGAATCTTACAAATTATCTACCAAGTAACAACAAAAAAAGTGACTGAAAACATACAATAAAGGAATTCAAAACATAACTCAAAGTCTTTTCCTTTCATCTTTCCTAATGCAGTAAAAGGCATCTATGTCTACTGAGCTGCTCTAAGCAGAAAGGGATTTTGCTTTGAATATAGTGTACCAGTCTTTGGCCTTACAGATTCTTACAGAGATCTCAAATTCATTCACTTCTCTCCACATCTTCATTGCTACCACCTAACTCAAACCATTCCCATCTCTTGTCTTATCTCTTTACAAAGTTATCTTTTAAAAGTACAAGACAGATGATGTCACTGCCACTACAGAGCTTCCCACTGAGCTGAGAATAATTTGTAAACCTCCTTAACACAGTATACAAGGAACAGTAGATGGTCCATGCCTACCTGTTCGTTCTCATCTCTTTCTGCTCCCCAACTCCCCACAACTACAATTCAGCAAACCCTTGCCTTCCTTTAGCTTTCTGATTTTGCCAAGATTTTTCTCACTTCAGAAACTTCAAATACAGTGTTCTTGCCACCTGTTCTCTGCCTGTCTAGCCCCTACTATTCTCAAGATATCAACTCATTGTTACTTTTAAAGAAAAAGCTTCCTCACTCCATTAGATGGTAGAAGACAAGAACCACGAACCCATGAAAACAAGAACCATGTCTGTTTTGTGTCCCTAGCACCTAGTACTCTCTGAAACACAGGAGGCATCAAAAAATATGTAACAGAACCATCTAATCAAATGGATCCCTCTTGATAAATATTTACTTTTTAAAATTAGGAACATAACTTATCACTTCTATAAGCAATCCAAAATGTGCATTTTTTAACTCATGCTCAAACCAAACAATTTTTCTACTTGGTTTGGTTTTTCGGGATTAATGAAACTATAGAAATTACATGAAACATAATGACAATCTTTTTCAATTTCATTGATGTCAGAACAAGAAAAAGAAACAAATCCTAACATACGTTATTATGTTATATCTAGCTCTAGAAACAGCTTCCCAGTGAAAGGAAGATAGGCTTCCAAGACACACTACAGAATCTTTTTCTGTATCAATTTTTTTTTTACAGAAATACTTATTTGGTTTAGAATATTCACAGGACTTGTGTAATTTTAGGAGAGCACAATAATCATTTAAACCCTGAATTTCATGATGTCCTAATATAAACAAACTAAAATTATGAGGTTTGTTATTTCCTTGTTACATCATTCATGTGAATTTTATTAAATAAAGAATTCCTTAAGAATCCTTTGTTTAGAAATACTGATTTCCTTTGGCTGAATCCAAACACATTTATAAAGCTGCCACAAAAAATGTACTTACCTTTACTTTTAACCTGATAGAAAAATTACATGGAAGATGGCATGAAGTACTGGCTAGACACCCAGGCAACTTTTCCTCTTCCTGTGGAATACACAGGAATAGGAAAATCTCTAAGATAATTGAGTATTTAACGACAGTATGTTGGCAACTCTGAAAAGTCAAGCCACTGATGTAATTATGTATGGGTGGGATTGCTCTCAGAAAAAGTGTGCTAAATTTCCGACTAATAGAAGACATGCTACTTTATTTCCACTCACATAACTGAGGAGAAAAAATACTGTAAAATCTACAAATTATAGCACTGATATTCTTATGACACTAAAATTTGGGGTACACACTGTTACTATACCTCTCTTATAAATGTGTTTGTGTGAACATCTAAAACTATATACATGTTGATGTAGATACACGAACTGGATTAGAAAACAAACAAAACCAAGATATCAAACACTTGAGACCAACGTGATAATTTGTATGGATATAATTTTTAAAAAATAGTACCTGTTACTTTCCTACTACAAGTTCAAAGAATAAAAACAGAAGCATAGACCTGTTTTCTTTCATTTAAAAGAAAAGGTGCTAATGAGAAACATTAAAAAAAATGGTTTTGTGGAATGACGAGGCAACCTGGTCAATGTGTGGTGATTATTTAAAAATATCTTATCATTTCCTTAGATATCATAAAGTCTGTATAGGAAATAATATGCTATTTGGTATCCACTTATAAAGATTTGCCTACACCTGTAAAAATGTACAAGATAGTTTATTGAGATATCAGTCACTCAGGTAAGTTTATAAAAATTTCATCTTACCTAGTGTAATGGGGCTAAATATATGGAATTTAAATATAGCAATATGTATGTTTACAAATTTAGGAACTTTTTCAAAATAATTTGAAATTGGTTTGAAATTTAATATTCACAACTTACACATTTTTTTTTGGTTGTGATGGTGATGGCGTTTTTGATGGTCTTCCTCGTCCTTTCTGTGGTGTGGATTGTGTGGATTCAATTGCACTAGATTCAGGAGATTCTGCTCTGCTTTGGGAAGACCCAAATGTGGATAGCATCAAATTATGATTTATAATATAGTAATGAAATAGATGCAGTTTAGAGTTACACATGCTTACCTCTGCTGTGCTCTCCTTGACACTCGGTGCTGTTTGCTTTTGGACTTCTGTTCTGTATTTCCACTTTGTCTTTCTTCTTCTTCCTCCTCCTCTGGTGCTGGAAGTCCAGATTTTTTTTTGCTTCCTTTTTTAGAAGTTTTCAATGTTGGCTCTTCTTTTGGCGTACTTCCACCAAGAGGTTTTGGTGGTCGGCCTCTCTTACCCTTTTTTGGTGGACTATTCTGTTCATCTTCATTTTCTAATATATCTTCTTTGAGCCTCTTTTCCTCAGGCCACTGCTGTTCATCAGATTCTGAAGCCGTATGGCCTCTTTTCCGACCTCGCTGACTGCCTTTAGGTTTCTGTTCCTGTACCAACTTAGTCAAGTCATCCATACCTAATTTCTCCTCCTGTTCTGTGACGGGTGTTTTTTTCCTGCCTCTAGGCTTCTCCAATTCAGACTAGAGGAAAAAAAAAAATTCACAATTTATCGTTATGAAATTGTGAGTATACATATTTTGAGGAAAGAAACAAAAAAATGTTATCTACTGTTGTCCCAAACATGTACCTAAAATATACAGCTCTTAAATACACCAGAACTGTATTTATTTGCTTTTATTATAGTTTTTAATTTGAAAAACTTACCTGAGGTAAAAGGGTACATTTTCACTCTTACTTTTAAGTTGGAGTGTCTTCAAAGGAAACCTCTCAAGATCAGTATCTTATCATATTATAAATTTTAGTGAAGAGCTATCTCATTAAAAAGAGCATTATAAATTCAGTGCTTGGTCCTAAATGACAACTATACTAAAGTATCTGTTTTGATAGTCAATTTAAGTAATTCTAATTTTACCACACAGTGCGTAAGACATAAAATATTAACTATATGACATGCTTACAACATCATAAAAGAAGCATTATTTTACAAATGGAGGTTGCAAGATATAAAAGGTAAACATATTCATCATTTATTATAAATTTTGGAAACACTTCTGAATTACAGATACTGCTTCTTTCTAGGTTTAACTAACAACAGAAACAACAAAAAACCAATGGCTTTCACATTTAAAATAAAATCCTAGTCTATATTCAGAGAATCTATATGTGAACCAGCATGAAGGCTGAAGAAATTCTCCAAAGACCCAACAATAATTTGTATGTATGAACACTTACAATTTCCAAAAATCTGCAGCAATTTATATTTTCAAACATCACTGAAAAGAAAACAACAAAAACTATCAAATTATCTGTAACTTTTTCTAACTTTAAATTGAGTTTCCTGTGTGTGAACTGCATAATTACATCCTTGGTATTGTGTCCTTTGCCAACTTTGATTACTGGGGTGTTAGTGGGTTTTCTCTATATTCTTCTATGCTTTTGTGTATGCCTCTATGCTTACTTTTAAGTGTTATTTCTTTATTATTATTATTATTATTTTATTTTTGAGACGAAGTCTTGCTCTGTTGCCCAGGTTGGAGTGCGATGGCGTGATCTTTGCTCACTGCAAGTTCCACCTTCCAGGTTCACGCCATTCTCCTGTCTCAGCCTCCTCCCAAGTAGCTGGGACTACAGGTATCCGCCTCCATGCCCGGCTTTTCTTTTTTCTTTTTTTCTTTTTTTGAGATGGAGACTCACTCTGTCACCCAGGCTGGAGTGCAGTGGGGCAATTTCGGCTCACTGCAACCTCTGCCTCCCAGGATCAAGCGATTCTCCTGCCTCAGCCTCCTGAGTAGCTGGGACTAGAGGGCATGTGCCACCATGCGCAGTTAATTTTTGTATTTTTAGCAGAGATGGCGTTTCGCTGTGCTGGCCAGGCTGGTCTCAAACTCTTAACCCGAAGTGATCCACCTGCCTCAGCCTCCCAAAGTGCTGGCATTACAGGCATCACTGCACCTGGCCTTTAAGTGTTATTTCTTATTTGCTTTGGACTGAATTGTGACCCCCATAACAAAAAAAAAAAAAAAAAAAAAAAGTATGTTGAAGTTCTAATCCCAATGTGACCCTATTTGGAGACAGGGCCTTTGGGAGTATTTGGTTGAGATGAGGTCATGAGGTGGGACCCGCAAGATGAGATTAGTGTCCTTAGAAGAAGAAATACCAGTGAGTGAGCTTGGGTGCCTTTCTTCTTTCCCCCGCCCCACACTTCTCATGTGAGGACACAGGAGAAAGTGGCATCTGTAACCCAGTAAGACAGCCCTCATCGGGAACCAAATCTGCTGGCACCTTGATCTTGTACTTCCAGCCTCCAGAACTGTAAGAAAATACATTTCTGTTGTTTAAGCTACCCAGTCTGTGGTATTTTATAATGGCAGCTTGAGCTGACTAAGACACTATTGTATATTGTTTTAGAATAGAATGTGAGGTGAGATTCTAAACTGGATTCTCCACTCCCAAAGACACATTCTACCATTTCAGAATCAATGATTTGTAGTGCTTCCTTTATTTTGTATGTTTTGAACAAGAATATTTATGGGCTATCATAACAGAAGCACAGTATTTTACTAAGTATAATTATGTGTCTGGTAGGGCTGAACCTACCTATATTTCTCCTCCTTTTATATCTATTTATTCCTCCACATAGACTTGAAACAAAATTATGCTGGAATTTTACAATTATATATTCACTTGGAAAAAACTGTCATCCTTTTTTACTCCTATTTCCTAAACAGGAACATGGCCTATCTTCTCTCTCTTCAAGTCTTCCAGTTTTGAGATTTTCTACATATAGGTCCTCCCTATCTCAGTTTTGAGATTTTCTACATGTAGGTACTCCCTATTTCTTTTTAAGGTTATATTTAAATCTATGAATCTGTCAATCAATCAATCAATCAAAGTTTGTTGTTGCAGTGGTTCTTGTGATAAAGAAAATAATCCCTTTTCCCCTAAATGTACATCTGATACAAAGCAAAATTATCAGAGTAATGTTGGTTACAAACAAAAATATATACACAGGTAAGGATAGATTTTCAATTGTTTGATTTCTCTAAGATTACAAAACTAACAATTCGTCAAACATTCTAGAGCAATTCTAAAAAACAGTGGTGACAGCAGGTTGTTTTGTTTCTGATTTTTAAAAAGAATGCTTCAAGTATTTTGCCTTTAGAAAGAATGGCATTGACTACTGATTTAAAATAGACAAAATTTTTAGTACATTAAAGATGTATCCTTCTGGTACTAGTTTACTAAAAGTTCGTATTTGTCAAGAACGGATTTTAAGTTTTATTTATGTCCTCTAGGCATGATCTGAAATTATTTGTTTTTGGTTTTCCCTTTGGTTTATTTAATATATTATTATATTAAAAGATTTGGTAACATTAAGCTATCCTTATATTCTAAGGAGACGGGAAGATCTATACATGACTGGATTTACTTTGTTTTTTTTACTTAGAGTTTTGTGCACAAATTAAAAATTAACTGCTACTCAAAGATGAGAAGGTAAAAGAAATGTTAAATCAGAACTAAATTTAAAATGTTACTTCTTATTTTAATTGCTACAATTCTTTTTGATGTCCACAGATCTAAAAAGGAAGATGATTTCCTTTATGCTTTGGAAAAGGTTGGTGGTAAAAAGAAAACCCAATGTCTACTTTCTTGAGAATACTAAGCTAGTTTCCTAAAGCACCACTACTTCTCATTTCTTTTTCATTTTGCATTGACTGTTTTAAGAACAGAGGGAGTACAAAATTGAGGTTAGAAGCAAAAGATAGGGAAAATATGTTATTTATAAAGCTAAATATTTAAATACAAACGTATATGGAAAATAATTCCTTTGCCATAAAATTTCAATGTGAAGCTGGTAACAAGCAAATGAGACCATGCTCTTTGATTATAATCCACTGGTCTTTAAATTCAATTTGTGTCTCATAATGCTCATCTGAGGGCACTTCAGTCAAAACTAGCTTATTAATAAGATTCTCCTAGCACCTCTAAAACTGGACCTAACGTTACACATTATCCATGCCACAACAAATAGCAAAAGGCCTCCACTGCAATCATACTAATAGATCTCAAGAGCTCAAAAATTCAAAACTGTTCTATGAAAAATAGAGTAGACTTTGCTCTGTACTATCCCAAAAGGTAAAAGTATACATAAAATTTATAGGGTAACAGAATATTAAGAATTAATAAAAACCATGTTTCCCAACTTTTAGGGGATGGGAACACTAAGGGTATAAGTATAGTACACTATAGGTGTGGGTATGAGTGGCCTAGTTGACTTTTCCAACAAATGAAATACATCATGAGCTCTCTGCTTAAAGCATTCTCAACATGGTGACCAGCTCTCATCACTAATAAAGGAATTTCTGCACTAAGTGAGAACTAAGAAGACATAATACCTTGTCCAATTCAAGGATTTTCTTCTGTAAATCCAGATAACAAGACTCTTTTCAAACTAAATGATCAATTCTTAATTTTGCTCATGTGAAATTTTTAAAGCACCAAAAAACATCATAACTTACAGTAAATATAGTGAGAATTCAGTAAAATTTTAGATAATTCTTTCTCGGCCGGGTGGTGTGGCTCAAGCCTGTAATCCCAGCACTTTGGGAGGCCAAGGCGGGTGGATCACCTGATGTCAGGTGTTTGCGACCAGCCTGGCCAACATGGTGAAAGCCCGCCTTTAAAAATACAAAAATTGGCCATGCATGCTGGCACACAACTGTGGTCCCAGTTACCCAGGAGGCCGAGGAAAGAGAATCACCTGAACCCAGGAGGCGGAGGTTGCAGTGAGCCCAGATCGCGCCACTGCACTCCAGCCTGGGCGACAAAGTGAGACTGCATCTCAAAAAAAAAAAGAATAATTCTTTCTAAATAGAAAAACACTCTGCCAAAATAAGTTACTGGAGAAACATGAAAATAAACTTCTTGGCATGTGTAATGTTGGACCAGTAGAAGACAAGATGGACAGTAATATTTTAGAGAAAGCAAAAGTAATTATTTTTTGGATAACGTCTCACCTCTATTAATCAAGTAGATTCGAACATTTTAACTTTTATTATTATGATAACCATAATCAAAAGTTGTAACAATGAAACAGCAGCAACAATTCATTTGGGCTAAGTCACTTACTCTGATAAAGTTTACCAGCTAAGTATCCATAATTTACATACAGATAAGAAAATTGATTCTGATAGCCTAATCAGTTATTAAGAAAATGATCTGAAGCTGAACTGTAAAGTCAAAACAAACCCAGTTAAGTCCAGAGTTGTGTTAGAAGACATAACTGTATTTTGTGTCTATACTAAAAATTCAGCAAATTTGTCGTAAAATAACACAACTATCATACAAGTTATCATTTTATTATTTCTATTAAGATTTAAAAACTGAACAAGAACTTGAAAACTATAGCATTTTCTACCTTTAATAGCAGCTCAATTAGTAAAAAGCTCAAGAAATAAATTAAACAAAAGAACCTTTAAGGATCCTCATTCCATTCCCCTTCTCTAAGGCTAAGTCTAAATATCCTATGTTAACACCACCACCACCACCAACAAAACCCCAAGCAAATGAGGAAAACAAAACAATACAAAAACCAAGCAGTTGAGTATGCAACTGGCAAGTCTAATACCAAAAACCTGAACAATTGAGATTACTCATCACATTCATAAGGAGCACAGATTCTATATACTTAAATTACATAGAGGATAATTATAAACTCAGGTTTGTGATTAAAGCCACTAAAATAAAATGAAAATATAAATTTGATAGTCATGTTAACTGGTTTCAGTGTAAACATTACTATTTACTAAGTAAAATTATTATTAATATTATTATAAAATCAATGCAAATATCTCACCCTTACAAGATCAGAGTCGTCTCGTTTGTCACTTTTTTTCCCCGGCAAAGGTGAAGACATTGTGTAATCTTCATTTTCACTGTGATCCATTTCAGAACTATCAAGCCTTTTAATACAGATATTTGTAATTGTTATTACAATCAAATAACCTTAAAAGCTTTTTCTGTTCCTAGTATAGCTTTACAGATTCATGGGAAAAAATTTCATTCTTTTCAAAAATGAACCACTTTTATTCTACCATATTTGATACTAACTCAACAAGCAATGAAGCTCATTTAATTCAATATAGTGAAGAAATTTAAAAAATCAAAAATTTAAATCTAGTTTTTTGTTTTTAAAACCTAAATTCTATTTTGGGGTCAGATCATAGAACCAATTAAAACTTTTCTTGTTGGCAGGTTAGCTTGGTCTACACACTGCAACCTGCCCCAGTTCCTTACCCTATTCTATTTTTTCTTCTCTCTGTAGCATTTAACACCCTCTAACACACCATAATTATTACATCTATTACTTACTGACTACCTTCCTCTGCTAGAATATAAGCATGACTCTTTTGTCAATCAATTTTACTTACCAATGTATGCCAAGCACTTAAATCAGCGCCAAGCATAGAGTAGGCATTCATATAAAGGTCCAGGCTTCTGTCCTGGGTGGTCTCATCTTTATCTAGTTTTTAAAACTATTTATACGTTGTTGAACCCTAAATCTCAATCTCTGGTCCAGCTGCACTGAGTTCTAAACTCACATATCCAATTGTCTACTCAACACTTCACTTGAAACTCTAATAGGCACCTGATCTTTAATGTAACCTAAACAGTCATTTGAACACTCTTCTTATTCCCACTTCCCCAAAACACACACATACAAACAGAGCCTGTTCTTCCTCAAGGCTTCTGTATCTCAGTAAATGGTACCACCATCTTTCCAGTTATTCAGGTAAAAAGCCCAGGATACACCCTTAAATCCTCCCTTTCCCTAGCTGTTCACATCCAATCCATCAGAAAGATCATCTGCATCTAACATCTAAATAAATCTTAGAGTGGTCTAAAGGTAGTGAGTTATTCTCAACTGATTGTTCATAGTTAGTTACACATCAAACTCCTTGTTTTAACTCACTCCTCCCTTCTCACTACTGCACTTGACTACTCTTTAAAAAAAAAAAATCTGAAATTTGACTATTTACCATCTTCTTCCCTCTTCATCCCTGCCATAGATTATGATTCGCTGACTCCTGACTGGTTTTTCTACCTCAATTCTAGCTCCTCTATAGTACATTCTGCACAAATCATCAAGGCAATTTAAAAAAAAAAAAACACACAAATTAGATTGCTAGACTCCCTGGCAACCCTTTCAGTTGCACTTAAAATCAAATCCAGATTCCTTACCGTGGTTCACAAAGTCCAAACATAATCAGGCTACCTCTTAACTTCCTCTCATAATTTTTCCCTCATTCCTACTCTCCAACCAAACAGCTTTCTCAAATATACCTACTTCATTCCCCTGGAAACAGTCCCACTAAACAGATGGAATTTGGAAGAAAAAAAATAACAAAACAGATTGGTCACAAGTTGAAAGAAAGTTTAAAGAAAACTATATTGAAAAAATATAAATTACGACACTTTTGTGTTAACAAATGGATGATAAGGAGAGGGTGAAATTATACTCATCTTGAAAGTAAACAAGGGAAGTCAATTAAGATCTCTGAGCAATGAAATAACATCACAACAGCAGTATTTTTAAAGGATTATCTAGCAGTGATACAACATACACAGTTGAGAGGAATAAGGAAGTAAACTAGTCAAATACAACAATAATTAAAGAAAGAAAATGAACTAAATGATGACAGTAAAAAGAGAAGTACAAAACATTGCTTAGAAAAAAGTTAGTAAAACTTAGCAACTGAACAAATATAGAGGTGGGAAGAGTCAAACACAATTTTGAGGCTTTTTGCCTAGATGACTAAGTGAATTAGATCATCTTTGATTATAACGAGGAATTCAAGGAGAAAAACCAGTAATTTAGAAAATGAGTTGATGGAAATGTTTCTGGTCATGTTAAATATGAGGCCACTTGGTAGAAAATGTCCAACTGATATAACTAAACGGTCACTTAGGTATCAGCCACTAACATGCATTAATACAGGAATCTAGAACAAACAAAAGCTATAAATGCAATTTCTTTCATTTCTATCATACTACATATCATTCAAAAATTTATTCACTGTAAGAAATGTGGTGGTAAGATTTTTAGAATGTCACCTACCTTCTTTACTGATTGGTTATCAACAATGAAAAATACAGTATAGTCTTTTAATAATAACTTGGCAAAAATCAATAAATAGTGGCAGGTTAGCCCTATACAATGCTCTGTGCTAACGAATGGTGCCCTAAGCACTTATGCTAAAACTAGTGAAAGGATGAATTAATTTTCCTTTTATTTTTCTCAAAACAAGAATCATTTTTAAAACATTTTTTAATGAGCAAAGGACATGAAGAGACACTTCTCAAAAGAAGACAAATGGCCAACCATAAAAAAATGCTCATCATCACTAATCATCAGAGAAATGCAAATCAAAACTACAATGAGATACCATCTCACATCAGTCAGAATGGCTATTACTAAAAAGTTAAAAAACAACAGATGCTGGTGAGGCAGAAGAGAAAATAGAACACTTATACGTTGTTGGTGGGAATGTGAATTAGTTCAGCCACTGTGGAAAACAGTTTGGAGCTTCCTCAAAGAACCTAAAACAGAACTACCATTTGATCTAGCAATCCTATTACTGGTTGTATATCCAAATGCAAATAGATCGTTATAACAGAAAGGAACATGCACTCATCTGTTTAACGCAGCACTATTCACAATATCAAAGATATGGAATCAACCTAGATGCCCATCAATAATGAACTGGATAAAGAAAATGAAGTTCATATATACCATGGAATACTACACAGCCATAAAAAAGGATGAAATCATGTACTTCACAGCAAGGAGGCCATAGTCCTGAGCAAATTAACACAGAACAGCAAACCAAATACTACATGTTCTCGCTTATAAATGGGAGGGAACATCGAGCACACATGGGCATACACATGGAACAATAGACGATGCAGACTACTGGGGGAGCTGGAGAAAGGAGGATATGGGCTGAAAAACTACCTATTGGGTACTATACTCACTACCTGGATGCAATATACCCATGTAACAAACCTGCACATGTACCCAACGTATCTAAAATAAAAGTTGAATTTTAAAAACCCAAAAAGCAAAAACACACTTTTAAAACAAACAAAAAGGTTTATACATGTACATGGTACTAAACAAAGATATTCAAATGATACCAAAAAGTATAAAATAGCCTCCCTTCTATACTAGGTTAACATAAACACTGTTAAGATTTTGTATACTCTTCAAAAAAATTTCTATGCATATAAAAACAAATGTGAACATAAATCTGCTTTCAATACTTAAAGATTCCATAATGCTGTTTTATATACTTTGCCTTTTTCACTCAATAATGTATTGTGGAAACTCTTCCATACTAACTCAGACCTCATCATGTTTAATGACTATGTATCCCATTGTATGATACACCATAATGTAACAGTTTTAGAACTGCTACACACTGAGGTTGGAAACTAGTTTATGTGTACTAACACAGATTACCCCCAACAAACTAAACAATGAAAGGCTAAGATGGAGCACCCATCCAAAATGAGAAAGCAAGTAAGCATGAACTTGTGACTACCAATGTTAAATGGAAAAAGTAAGTAATACATTACTTTCCATTTACTGATATTAAACATTTTGGATTATATTATTTCAGATCTCATAGCCTTGCTGGAATCCTTAAATGTAAATTGTGGCATTTCTTCTGCACTTACCTCCCCTTTATTCTTCCAGGAGAGCTTGGATTTGAGCTGCTGCTTGCATTGCTTACAGTTTCCATTCGTGATGATTTGGTCTGAGATTGTTTGCCTGCTGATGAAAGCGGCTTGTTAACAGCTCCTAGAACATTGGTTGTTTTAGGCTGAAATGAGAAATGCACATCTTTTTATTTGATTAAAGCCAAAAGAAAGTTACATGTAAAAAACCATAAATAACATCTCTGTCAAGGTATTTACTTACAAATCATGAAAAATGTGTCTATCCTTAAGCAAAATAAGTATAAACTAAATATTACTTGAACAAATTAAAAACTATACAGACAGCATAACAGTTGAATTTCTTAGTTATTTGGAGAAAATGGCTTACATAAAAAGTGAGAACAAATGAAATAAATAATCAACAATGAATATAGATAATTAGACCCTTGCCATGGAAAGACATAAGAATATGCTTTTTTAAAGATTTTTTATCTTGATATTAATCTAAGAAGTCTAAGAATCAGGTCTCCTGGGACTTAATTACAAGCTAAAAAGTAAGTCTGTGTATTTCAGCTTGCATATATTTAGTAAATATAATTATTTCTTACTAGTAAATGGAAGACAGTTAATACTTATATTTTTCTAGCTTGAAAATACAAATTTTTGAAGCAATACAATATAACACAATTTTGCCAATAATCACACTAAAATAAGCTGCCACATAAAAATTAAAATGATTCTCAAAACATACTTTTCCAGGAGTGAAAAATGATTTCATTTCAGGAGGCAGATAATTTTTGGTGTTACTGAAATTCTACAACCAAGAGAAAAAGAAGTCAGTGAATATTAAACCACTATCTACGAGGTGGTTCAAAAGCCAACAAAGCAAACAGCAGTTTTTTTATTTAAACTAAATTATCATATGAAACACAAAATTTCAGTCACTGATTTTAACTACTGTCATAAGCTTAAACCAACCTCATGCCAACTCTAATATTAACAAAACATATTTGAGCTCTAACATGTTAGAGCTCTCAGAGTGCATCAGAAAACACATGCTTCTTTAATAACACCCTTCAGGAGAAAGATCACATATACATCTATTACTCTGCTCACCTCAACGTGACAGCCCTTTTAGCTACTAAGCACTCCTATAGGGCTGTTTCAAATCTCTATACCCTGGTAAGGTCTTAACTGGCACTTTGCTTTAAAAGCAAAAAGAGGATAGTGGTCATTTCCATACTCTGTTACTCAATATGTTCAGCTAAATTATGAGGAATTAAATAAATTATGAGGGAGTAAGAGGGATTGTGGGAAATACTTTTTACATCTCATATCACACTCAAGTTTTTTGGAGAGTGGTTTGGTAACACTCTTGTAGTATTCCCAGGGTCTTAGGCATGTTCCAGTGTCCGTTCTCTGTTTGTTTCCTCATACCAATTACAAATCCCAATAAAGGGCTTTAACTTCAGACTGTATCTCTATCAGCACTCTCCTTCCCATTTTGAACAATGGCCATTAATTCACAAATTCACATGCTTTGATCACATTTCTGCCTGTGCTCTAAGACTGCCTTAAAACTGAACATAAACACCAGATCATCCTAATATCTGAACCTTATGTGTGTCCTCCAGTTTGACTCATATTCTGGTTCTGATCTTAAATCACATTCTTAAGACTCATAGCAATCTTTCCATGATGCTTCCTATCTTCCTACAACCCAGCGCTCAGAATACATTTTATTTCAACTTACACAAATTGTAAAGCAACTACCTTGTCAGGTTGAGTGAAGAAACGAGCTGGTAGTACTGGGTCTTTAGGAGATTCCAAACTGTATGTAGTACTCTTTGACATGATGATATTCATGGCAACATCACACACGGTATACAGTTTCTGCAACAGTATATTTTTAAAAAACAGATACTTAAGCTGGCAATCTAGACTCTGTAAACTACCAATAATATCAGAACATGAATCCAGTCTGAACAGTAAACTAATGAAAGCAATAGTCTGTGTAAGCATTTTAGTTTACACTACTGGTTTTGCTCATTTACTTGTAATAAAATTACTGCTAATTGCATGTCAGTAATTCTAATTACTAATAGAAAAAATTATTTGATGCTGTCTATAAATACTACAAAAGTTTCATACCTTACACCTAAATTTTTAAATCAATATGGAACCATAATTATTTACAAAGAATTACATACTTCATTCATTTTTGCATCATCTGGTCCTTGGGCATCTTTTGTTTGTTTAATATTTTCTACCATCTTTCTGATAAATGCATGACTGTTATTTTCATTTTTAGCCATTAATATTTCCAGAACAAACCAAAGACATCTAAAAAAGAAAAAAAAAAAAGGAAAAAAAAATATAGAAGAAAATAATCCTTTGTTAAATATAGATACAGTAATTCTAAATATAAATGTAACAAACCTAGATTATATAACTCCAGGAAGAAAAAAGAAAGAAACAGTTACAAATCAGCAAGAAAAAAGAATATGTCACACAAACATATAAACAGGTCAACAATGCAGACATGAGCTTGTAAGATCCCTTCTTAAAATCTCACTAGATTTCCAAGGAGGCAGGTTAAAGAGGAAACATAAATGGCAGAAAGGATGAAGTCATCTTAACCCTCAGCTATGGCAGGGAGTTAAAGACTGTCAAAGGAATAGTGGGGCCATGGATCAAGTGAGGCCTCAGATACTCAAGACTGACTACAGTCCTGATGGGAACTCTTCAAGAGAATATAACTGCCTTATTAAATATAAAAACAGTTAAGAATACTCATTAATAGAGAGAACAAGTCACAATAGACAACTATAAGCATCGTCTTTGCTTAAAAAGGGAAAAATTAAAAGAAAGCTTCAGTAGCTCAGTTTTAAAGTTAATTACATAAAACTCCATTCAATAAAAAATGAAAAGTGTTTTGCCTATGTATTATACAGAGAGAAAGGAACAAAGTTATAGTTGATACATAGAGGAGAAAAGTAATGGGAAAAGGAAGAGAGAAATGTGAAGCAAGGTATTATACTAGAACAGAAAAAAATAACCTTTGGGAACTTAGGTATAGGATAAGTTCTTCTGAAGCGGCTCCCTGATAGAACGGAGATCACACATGGCTACACTGAGGCAACTTAGAAATACAACCGTAAATGTCTAGTAAATTCCAAAGGATGTTTTATTTATTTTTAAAAACCCAGTGTTCTCAGAAAGAGGTGGCTAGATGTTTTCAACAGTTTTAATCACTCTAACATAGAACTAATTTTGATAGAACTAATTTTTTTTTTTTTTTTTAAATAGAGACGGAGTCTCACTCTGTTGCTTAGGCTGGAGTGCAGTGGCACGATCTTGGCTCACTGCCAACTTCCACTGCCCAGGTTCAAGTAGTTCTCCTGCCTCAGCCTCCCAAGTAGCTGGGACTACAGGCATGCACCACCACATCTGGCTAATTTTGTTGTATTTTTAGTAGAGATGGGGTTTTGCCATGCTGCCCAGGCTGTTCTGGAACTCCTGACCTCAGCTGATCCACCCACCTCAGCCTCCCAAAGTGCTGAGACCTGTTTACACGCATGAGCCACCATGACCAGCCAACCTAATTTCTTATTTTTTAAAAAAGAAAACTGCAGTGGGAAAAAAGGGCATTTTTTCCTTTGCCATGAGAATTTATCAGTAATTTGATTTTATTCTCCTGAAGCTTCTCAAATTATTTAACTATGAAATATTTCCATACATTAAGACATTAAGAATTATTTTAACATAACAGGAAACTAAAGGCATCATAAATTAGTTGATTAAAAATCCCAATGGTAATCTTTTATTGTAACTGAAAGAGGACTAGGGTCTCGAGCTTATTTAAAGAATTATGCTGGTCTTAAAAAGACTTCTCTAAATATCATTATATTCCTATTCCCCATCTAGGCACGTACAGTGTTTTCAGTCTTCAAGCAATAATCTTTGAAAGAATTACAAATATTTTAAACTCTAGTTAGAGAATTACCAATTAAGTAATAAGTGGAAGTAGTTCCCCAGTTATGAATCTGGCCCATTGTTAAATCAGACCATTCTCTTTCTACAGAGGAAGATAGTTATTGCACAGAAAAATGTGCTTACTACATGAATAAAAGAGAGATTATTAACTGACCTCACATGAAAATCTACACAGTTTCAGAAGGAAGAAGGAAAAGATAAGAAATGGAATGGAAATTTTAATGAATTACTTCAATAGAAAAGGAACACCAGACTGGTAAAGAAACATAACTATAATAATTATGATTAAGTTTTGGGAAACTACATTAAAAATGTAATATAAAGAGATGGTATGAAAAAAGAAAGACAAGAGAGCAAATAAAGAACCTTAAACGCCTAATAAATGAAATACATCAATAAACTAATTACAATTGAGATCCAATTATCAGCATTAAGGAGAAAAAAATAACTTTCAGAAAATATGAAAATGGGATGGAAAAAGTCTTACTCTTTAACATCTTTAAGTTGTTCAATATCCTGTACTTTGACATAATCTGGGTCATGTGCCAAAAGGTGAATTGTATATGGAACAACATATTCTGGTAGAAGAGACAATAATTTTTCTGAAAAAGAAAAAAAAAAGAAAAGAAAAAAGAAAAAGAAAAAGAAAAAAACAAAAAAAAAAAACACAAAAATATCCAGGTTAGAAAACCAAATCTTACACACTCTTTCTTTCGTACTATATTTTCTGCATCCCAACAGTTTACCACAATGACTTGAAGAAAAATATATTGAAATACCCTGTGTTGAGGTACACGATAAACAGTCTATTCATTCATCTACCATGTTCAATACTGAAACGGCCTACTAAATAAATCACGGGCTGAGGCTACAGAAACAAATATTTCAATTTTAAAATACGTAAGGAAAAAGTGACCCAAACAAACTATATTCAAGAGTGAGAGACAAAACATCTATTTTTCCTATTAGAAGTGACCCTATGTTTAACACTCTCTTTAAGCTGCTGAGCAAAATGAGTAACATCTAGTATTTTTCAGAGTCAGTATGGAACAACAAGAGGCTGACACTACTTGTAACAGAAGAAGAGAATAAAGGAACAGACTTAAGAGTTTCAACAGCTATTTAGTTTAAATTCAATTATTTTTGTATGTTGGCTGAGATAAGCACATTCTGTTAGAGAGGTCAGAATGGTAAACCTAATTGGTTTAATAAAGGGTACACACAGACTGGGACTCATATTCTGGATAATTTCCATTTATTTATATTTCCTATTTTCCAAATAAAAATATAAATTAGATGTTTTAACCTCGTGTATATGTGTCAACAAAGCATCAAATTTCCTTTATTTCTATTGCTAAATCTACAGAGAATAGTTTGTATGTAACATCATTCATTTCAAGGCCAATGTGGAAAGAAAAAAGTAACACAGTTTAAAATCTGGTGAAATTAAAATTAAATTCTATCAAATATTTATTCAGTGTTTACTATGTTCCAGGCCTATATTAGAATCTAAAAATATAAAGATGAGTAAGACTAGGTAAAGAGCTCACACTAAAGCATAATCAGAGACGGAAGCTACACTTCAATGTGAAAGGTGCACCAAAAGAAGAATGGCTAACATACTGAGCACTTCTTTGGGCCATATATTATGCCAGGCACTGCATGTAATTTTTTAATTCTCATAACAACCATAAGCAATCAGTATAATTATATCAATTTTGCAAATAAGGAAACTAGGGCACGAATGATTAAGTAATCTGCCAAAATACGACCAGTAAATGGCAGAGGTGGGCTGTGATTGCAGAACTCTCACATTTTCCAACGTAAGGAAGGAAGAAAAAGAAAGAGGGTCACAGTGATGTGGTAGCCACAAAACTCTATTTTGAAGCATTCAAAAGGTGTCAACCATGTTCCTTGGTTTTGTTCACTGTTTGTCTGGAAATGGGAGGCGATTTCCAGATAGAGTTAACAACAGAGAAAAAAGACTGTTACACAAATTTCAAGTAATCGAAAGTAAATGAAACACAGAGTTCATAATAGGGAGCAGAAAGAAAGCTTGAAACTCAGGCTGAGAGCAAACTATAAAGGGCTATGATAAGGTGTTTCAACTTTATCCCACGAGCAACAGAGAATCAACAGAAATTTCAAGTAAGGGACTGATGTGATCTAACCCGTTTTAGAAGGATAATTTTGATAACAATGTGATACAGCAGGCAGTGGGTCAGAGGCACAGGAACAATTACTACAGGGAGGCGATGTATACAACAATCCAAGTGAAAATATAGCAAGGTAGGAGAGTAGAAGATAAATGTTCAAGACATTTGGAGAAAGAGTTAACAGAATTTGCTCACGGATGAGAGGAGGGAAAAACGGTATGAATAATGCCTCTGATTTCTAACTGAGATAACGGGATGGATTTTAATGCTGATTGTTAAACAAATCATAGAAGTCAAGAGGCACACCAACTAACCTCAATGGGGTAAAGTGAGCAAATGAAAAGTAGGCACGCAAACACCTGATATTAATGTCAGCTACAGGTGAGAACAAACAACAAAGATCAAAGACTTGTACTTTTTTTCAACTAAAATAAGATAATGTTTAGACAATCTATATAAACGTATAAATTTTACTATTCTGTTAAAAGTACCTCTAATGTCATTGTTTATTTTCCTTGGCCATTTAGTCCTTCACATAAAGAGATAAAGGTTGATATTTAAGTACCATGCATTTATATTTTTTAAATGACCTTTATATTAAATGAAAAGCAGTTATCGAAAAATGGTAATATCTTAATGAGTGTCAATTACAAATAATAAATAACAGTAATATCATGTTGTATTCTATAAAACTGAAACTAGTAGGCTGAAAAAGTATCCTTTTCATTTTCTTATATGCTTACCACTAACAGCTGCATGCTGCTTCAAATACTCCCGCCTTACATTTATATTTTTCACCAAACATTGCCTAGCATGAGCTCTTCTCTCCTTTACAGGATCTTTTGCACAAAGGGCACAGATTGCCATATACTCAAGTGGAAGCCGTAAACGGGAAAGGCCTTTGTGAAGTTTCTGGGCAAACACTTGCCTTACTTGATAGCATTCATCCTGTAAAGACACAATTATTCCAGATATTATTCAAATGGCAGCAAAGAGTAACGACTTCAGATATAAAATTTGCTATTTTAAGTAAAGAGTAAATAGTAGCAAGTTTATCTACGATAATTGCTTCACTGCTCACAAGAGTGAGATGTTGTGACTAAAGTTCATTTCAAAGCTGCACTATTCATCTGGACCTTAATAAGTACCAGTTAGATGTGTTAGAAAAAAAACATACCTTTAAAACAGAAAAAAACTAGTAAATATAAATCTGCCCTAACTTAAGTAAGATACAAAAATTAAGGTTTAAACACAATCTTATATGTCTCTCTTTCATTTACTGGGCAAGATAAAACTGTCCAATTTATACATTTTAGTTCTATCACTGAAAAAAACTATTCATATTAAAATGCACAACTCTAGCTGGGCACGGTGGTAGACACCTGTAGTCCCAACTACTCAGGAGGCTAAGACAGACATAGCAAGATCTTGTCTTTTAATAAAGAATTAAAAAGCACAACTCTGAAGGTAAGAATTACTAATCCATTTCAGAAACACCAAATTACTTTGACTTCTATACTTAAACCAGGCTGATTACTATTCATGTGCCTGCTTAACTCATACTACTCCCCTCTCCTAAACTACCCACCCCTACTCTCCTAGCTAACTCCTACTTACCCTTAAAGACAGCTTATACATCAGACAGAAAGCAGTGTGTATTCTGTATCCAGCACTCACCTCTGTGCTCTTAGCATTCAGTACTTATCTCCAGCACAGCATTTAGTATAAAGTATTAAAATGACTGGTTTAAATGTTTGTCTTACCCATCGGTACTTGTTCCTTGAAGAAAAGAATTACCTTTACCTCTCTAAGCCTAACACAAAACCTGGCACACAGATGACCAAAAGTTTTTCTGAAAGACAGGAGTTTCCCCTTATCAGTGAAGGATACATTCCAAGACCCACAGTGGATGCCTGAAACTGAAGATAGCACCAAATCCTATATATGTGTTTATCTATACATATATACCTATGATAAAGTTTAATTTATAAATTAGGCACAGCAATAAATTAACAATAACTAATAATAAGATAGAACAAGTATAACAATATACTATAATAAATGTTATGTGAATGTGGTCTCCCTTGTTCTTAAAATATCTTACTCTGGAAAAGCTAGACCACAGATAGGAGAGACTACTGCATAGGGAAAAGTTCAAACTTTTCTATATGACCTACAAAGACCTTCATGATTACACCTTATGCTCCACCAGTTAAATACAGTATGGTGTGTTTCTTACTGTTGTAACAATTTCTTCATCCAGAATGATCATTTACTTTGTTTATCTTCCCCAAAAATCTTGGTCATAACATCTTGCTCTTATCTTTAAATCCTTATTTTATATATCTTCTTTCATTTCATTTAAATTTCAGTTTATCAAAATACCAAACATCTACTTTTAGAGAAGTAGTCTAAACTAAAGAGCTTCTATACAGCAAAAGAAACAAACCATCAACAGAGTAAACAGAAAAACAACAGAATGGGAGAAAATTTTTGCAAACTATGCATCCAACAAAAGTCTAATATCCAGAATCTGTAAGAAACTTAAATAAACTAACAAACAAAAACTAAACAACTCCATTAAAAAGTGGGCAAAGGACATAGACAGTTTTCAAAAGAAGATATACACACAGCCAACAAGTATATGAAAAAATGTTCAATATCATTAATCATTAGGGAAATGCAAATCAAAACCATGAGATACCATCTCATATCAGTCAGAATGGCTATTAATAGAAAGCCAAAAAATAACAGATGGTGGTGAGACTGTGGAGAAAGGGTAACACTAATACACTGTTGGTGGGAACATAAATTAGTTTAGCCATTGTGCAAAGCAGTTTGGTGATTTCTCAAAAAACTGAAAACAGGACTACCATTTGACATAGCAATCCTGTTACTGGGTATATACCCAAAGGACTATAAATCATTTCTACCATGAAGGTACATGTATGTATGTATATGTTCACTGCAGCCCTATTCACAACAGCAAAGACATAGAATCAATCTAAACATCCATCAACCGTAGACTGGATAAAGAAACTGTGATACAGATACACCATGGAATACCACATGTGCTTTTTGCAGCAACATGGATGGAGCTGGAGGCCATTATCTTTAGTGAATAAAGGAACAGAAAACCAACTACTGCTGTTCTCACTTGTAAGTGGGAGCTAAACATTGAGCACACATGAACACAAAGAAAAGAACAACAGACACCAAAGCCTTCTTGAGGGTGGAGGGTAGGAGGAGGGTGAAGATGGAAAAACTACCTTTTGGGTACTACGCTTACTACCTGGATGATGAAATAATCTGTACACCAAACCCCTGTGACTCAACAATTTACCTACATAACAAACCTGTACATATACCCCGAACCTAAAGTTTAAAACCCACACACACAGACACACACACACACACACACACAGACACACACACACACACACACACACAGACACACACAGACACACACACACAGAGGCCGGGCGCAGTGGCTCACGCCTCAGCCATTTTGGGAGGCCAAGGCAAGTGGATCACCTGAGGTCAGGAGTTTGAGACCAGCCTGGCCAACATGGTGAAGCCCTGTCTCTACTGAAAATACAAAAATTAGCCAGGTGTGGTGGCGGGTGCCTGTAATACCAGCTACTTGGGAGGCTGAAGCAGGAGAAATGCTTGAACCCGGGAGGCGGAGGTTACACTGAGCTGAGATTGTGCCACTGCACTCCAGCCTGGGCGACAGAGCAAGACTCCATCTTGGGGCGGGGGGTAAAAATTAGCTGTGGGGAGGGAAGGGGAAAAAGCAGTCTAGTTTTCACAGAAACAATTATCTACCCTCGTATTCAACAAAACAAAGTTAATGTTAACTCACCCTGCCCTCAGTCCCACAGAGAAGAGTCTCTGTTATAGAATTATTTATTATGAAAATACCCAATTACAAACTGGTTAAGTAAAAATCCACATATCACAAGCGTATTCACAAATGAACAGGTCATTCATTAAAATCCCAATTAAGTACAGGTTTTTGTCCCTCGCTGACTAATCATTCAGGATGCAACAATGCAATACAAGTTAACTGCAGTGTCAAACCTTGAATCATCACACAAGTAGCAGGTTTTCAAAAAGTCATCAAAGTGATGTTAGATAACTGGGAAATCATAGGCAACTCCACTAACACAAATAATAACTGAAGAAGAGAAAACTGGCAGGAATGATGACACACACACACGAACTTCAAGAGAATCATGTGAACAATTAAGTATAAAAAGCGCTACTGGGAACTGAGGAAGTCTTCAAATGTTTTTCTGCAAAGATGATTATCCTTTTGACCGGTATTACAAAAGTGAAATGGGAAGTAAAGAATAGGGTAATACAATTTTATCTGAAAAAAATGTACCCCCCAAAAAGCAAATACTGTATATAATTGGTTAAACATAGGAAAAAAAACAGATGGTGTCTAATACTACAAAGTTCCCCCCCAAGATAAAGTTCCAATCAAAGCTTTTATTCACTACTGACTATGAAATTAATTTTAGTCTGCAGCTTAAGTAAATTCACTTTTAGTAGCTTTTTTTTAGTACAAAGTATCCTCAAAACTACCATTAATTCCATGTAAATAGTTCAATTACTTTGTGTATCTCATTGTATTATTGATACAACTCCATTTTCTGTTCTCCTAAGAGATTGTTAGCTTCTTTGGGCTACAACCATGACTTACTCATCTTTGTATTTCCAGAACTTAGAACAATGTACAGCACACAGAAGTACAGAGTAAATTTTTTGTGAACTGAATTCCAAGTTCTAAAATATCTAAGCAATTATTATGTTAAAATTCATAGTTTTATTAAATTTTTGCAAATGTACTTTCTGTTCAAGTACATAACAGCCGCCTCCCAGATACAATAGTGCATTTAAAGAGCCTCAACTCAAGAAATAAAGTACATGTAGCAAAGCACAAAGCATAGTCTTGTATGTATCAGAGGACTGCAGATAAAATCCACAGGAAATCAAAGACTTCTTCCAGCTAAAAGAATCAGAGCGAGTTTTGTAAAGAAGGTTGTGTCTGAGCGCTGACTTGAAGGAAGGGTTAGGTTGGATGTGTGGAAATGGGAGAGTAAGGAGAAAATTAAAGGCAGCAAAGTACAAGGCACATAAAAGGAAAAAAGCTGTTCAGCTACATGAAATGAGGTTATGTAAAGGAGAGTGTGCTCAACAAGATTTTTAAGTGTATATTCGGGTTAAAATATTAGAGGGACTCAAACACCAGGCTGTAAAATATGTGCAGTTATTTTTACAAGTATAAACCTCCTAAATATTTTTTGAACAGAGGAATGACATGGTCATAACTGTAATTACGGAAATTTACCAACAATAAAAAAGATTCACAACAGTCTTGGTGAGAGCTAATGATGATTGCAGCAATAAGAATGGTCAAGAAAGTATGAATAAAAATTATATAATGATATCAAAGGACAGAATTATCTGTACTTTGCAACAAGGTGTAAGGACAAGACAACAGTCAAATATAAACCATGCTTTTAGGTATAAGAAATGTCATTCAGATTTATTTAACACTTATATAGGCTCTACATGTCAAGAAAGACTAGATCTGGGAAATATTACAAATTTATCTCAAGATTATATTCACAGAACATAAAAGTATAAAACTTCTGTTTAGCATTTGAAGTAGGACCTGAGTCTTGAAAAAAACTCAGGTTGCTGATTTAAGAGTCACTTACACAGATGATGAGATGGTCAAAGAAGATTGAGTAAGTGAAGAAGTTGATCCCAGATAGATCCTCATAAAACACATACATTTAAAAAAAAAAAAAAAAAGAGGACGAGCCAGAAAATGTAATCAGATAAGTAAAGCAATAATCAAGAGACAGAAACCAAATAGGACAGTTTTAAGAATAAAGGAGTAATGAGTTGTGTCACATAATATAAATAGGATAATGAAGCCCGGTATCATCGGACTTGAGGACTTCAACAGGACATTTTTGGAAAACAATGAAGGCAAATGACAAAATATGAGTAGAGAAGACAGGATAAGAGAGTAAGAGAGACAAAGAGAGATTATTCTTTCTTGAGGTTTGGAGGTTTAAAAAGAGGAGATGGGCAAGTGATGTAAAGGAAGAACATAATTAGAGAAAAGTTTTGTTTAAAATAGGGTAATTTGATATGTTTCTAAGTTGTGAGAAGATGCTAGTAACTCATTTTTAACCACTGACACATGTTCCATAGTCAAGAGAATTCCAAAACAATCTTAAAGTTTAGGCCATTTGAACTTTCACCTTGGGAATTTGGTGCTTGAGGTGGCAATATATAACAAATATTGTACTGGAAAGGAAGTCCTTACAAGTCAGTAACTGTGGATGCTTTTTACTTATAGTGGACATTTACCTAATGGCTGGCACATACTTCTTAAATACTGTAAGTTTCCAATAAAGTCCATTTCTTGTATTTCCATACTTTGTTTTTTAAATATTTCCACTTCAATAATGATAGCAGCAAATGCTCTAAGAAATATCATATCAAGCACCTGATAGACTACAAGTCTTACCAATTTAATAAAATAATTACACATGTTGCTTTTTTCTAAGAAATGTAATAGATACTTTTTAAACAATTTTCAGGTTCTTATAAGATTATCTCCAACAATTAAGCAGGTAAACTAAACCAAGGAAGTTATGGGCTCCCCAAAATTCTTTTTTTTTTTTTGAGATGGGAGTCTCACTCTGTCGCCCAGGCTGGAGTGTAATGGCGCGACCTCGGCTCACTGCAACCTCTGCCTCCCCAGTTCAAGCGATTCTCCCGCCTCAGCCCCCTGAGTAGCTGGGATTACAGGTGCGCGCCACCATGCCCGGCTAATTTTTTGTATTATTAGTAGAGATGGGGTTTCACCATGTTGGTCAGGCTGGTCTCGAACCCCTGACCTCATGATCCACACGCCGCAGCCTCCCAAAGTGCTGGGATTACAGGTGTGAGCCACCGCACCTGGCCCCCAAATATTATTTCTTAAATGGTTTTGTCTGAACAATAAAACGAAAATCATTAACAGAATTTGAAATAGCTGCCTTTTTTTTTTTTTCCCCCGAGACGGAGTCTCGCTCTGTCGCCCAGGCTGGAGTGCAGTGGCCGGATCTCAGCTCACTGCAAGCTCCGCCTCCCAGGTTTACGACATTCTCCTGCCTCAGTCTCCTGAGTAGCTGGGACTACAGGCGCCTGCCACCTTGCCCGGCTAGTTTTTTGTATTTTTTAGTAGAGACAGGGTTTCACCGGGTTAGCCAGGATGGTCTCGATCTCTTGACCTCGTGATCCACCCGTTTCGGCCTCCCAAAGTGCTGGGATTACAGGCTTGAGCCACCGCGCCCGGCTGAAACAGCTGTTTTTAAAAGACTGAAGTACCAGTCTTGACAAATCATTTGACAAAAATGATTACAGTTTAAAAATAGATGATTGTTTGCATCTAGAGAGTTATACATAAGTGGCAATTTAAAAATACGTACTAGAATAAAGGGTGGGAAGGAAGAATTACAATGATCACTGAAGTAAATTATTAAGACTGCTTGGAAAAGAACAGAAAAACTTAAGCGTAAAATAACCAAATTATTAATGAAAAACTCGTATTGAAATTATTTTATTTACTAATGTGAAAGCCCTTTTTACTTTTCTCGATGATGCTAAAGACTTCTAAAGTTGTACAGTCCAAATATAAAGTTACTCTAACAAGAAATCCATAAAACTGGAATAGGAATCTGAAAATTTTACTGCTCATAATCTGAAAACTTAACTCACCGAGTAATGAGGAATGCTTCTAACCTGAAATTAGTTCTATGTCATATAAACTATAAACTTCTATACTATTGTTTTCCTTTCAGGAACTGAATACATACAGTCAGTCTTCATTATTTGTGGATTCTATCTTTAGAAATTTGCATACTCATTAAAATTTATTTGTAACACCAAAATTAATACTTGAAGCAATTTTTTGGTCATTTGCAAAGTAAATACACAAAGCAGCAAAAAATGTAAGTAGCCAGATGTGTACATTCCCAGCTAATGTCAAAGAAGGCAACACCGTGCCTTCGTTTCAGCTTTCATATGTAAACTGTCCTTTTTGAGGTCACAGTTTTGTGGTTGATGTTTTTGTTAGTTCATGATGAAGTACTGTCTGGTGTTTCAAAGCACAAGCATAGCGATGAACTGCTGTCTGGCGTTTCAAAGCACAAGAAGGTTCTGATATTCCTTACAGAGAAAATGTGTGTACTAGATCAGCTTTGTTCAGGTATGAGTTACAGTGTTGTTGGCTATGAGTTCAGTGTTAATGAGATGACTATATATAATAAATAGTCTTTAAACAGAAACATACATAAAACAAGGTTGTATATTAACTGGATGATGAAAATGTTGTGGCCAGGGGCTTGAAGGAATCTATTCTGTGACTTCTCCTAAGAGCAACTGTACAGTATCTGCTAACTGAATGCCTGTGATAACATTATAGAAAACTATTACAAATAAGAAGATCAACTGTACTATGTTAGCGACCCAAAACTCAAATGACAGTTTCAGAACTCTGAGATGTTTCTCATGCATAAATTTTTCAAAAACAAACCAACCATAAACATTCAAGATTTTAATCTATGTATGACAGTGGATTTTTTTCCTTCCTAAAAGTCAAAGACCTTCTAACGTAGTTGTACACAGCCATTTCCTTACGTTGATAGCTAATGCGCATAGCTGATATTGTTCTAATGTGATGATTTCATGGTAACAGGGTTCTTGTGCCAGCTTCACAATAGCACTCCCAGCAGCAAGTCTCAGACGTGACATATCTGGTTTACTGAAAAATGAGTAGAATGAAAATAGATTAGAATTTAAAATGTTTGTACAAAATCTTCTGTACATCTAATTTTATTAAAAATTCTGGCCAAAAAAAAGTTAAAAAAAAATGCTATGATCTGAATGTTTGCGTCCCCCAAAATTCCTATGTTGAAATGCAAGGACCTAGGAGATAGTATTAGGAGGTAGGGCCTTTGTGAAGGTGATTAGGTCATTGTGGGAAACCCTCATGAATGTGATTAGTGCCTTTAAAAAGTGGCCTGAGAGGGCTTGTTTACCACTTCTGCCATTTGAGGACACAGCAAGAAGTCAGCAGTCTGCAACCCTGGAGAGGGCCCTTACCAGAACCCAACCATGCTGGCACCCTGATCTTGGATTTCCCAGCCTCCAGAACTGTGAGATATAAATTTCTGTTGTTTATAAGCATGGTATTTTATTACAGTAGTCTGAGCAGACTAAGACAGAAAATAATTTAGTGATACTGAACACCATATTATGCTCATTTAACTTTGGAAGATGTTTTCTAATACTACAAAATTCTTCTTTTAAACATAAGTCAATGCTAGCGTCACTCAAGTCATTTAATTCCCTCATGCTAAATAAAACAGGTCTTAGTCAAGCACAGAAGAAATGTCTGTATGTTTAGTTGTTACGTTTTATGTATTCTTCTATGGATTTTGTTGGAGATACGTTTATGTATACATGAGGCACCAAATATGTTCTAGCTTGCGAATAAATCAACCACAACTACTGTGCTAAGCACGAAAGAAGAAGAATGAAAGCAGGTGTGGTGAGGAAAACATTACTATTCCTAGCTAGAATTCAACTTCTCAAATATTACCATGAGGCTCTTTTTAAGTTCAAGGAGAGAAAACTGCTAAAATGAAGCACAATTCATAGAATTCCAGACTAGTAAATACGTCTAAACAATCCTTCCTAATATAGTGATATATTAGCTGAAATAAAGGGGATCTTGAACAAATATAAGGAGGGAGAAGTTGTAACTCCTTAAATAGAATCCCCTTTGTAGCTCTACAGTAAAAGACTGTTATTCAACATCCATGCAACAAATCTATGTCTATTGTGTACATATAGCACTGCGGGGTATTTAAAATAAAAGACACAGTCTTAGTTTTCCAAGACTTAATAATCTAGTTGGCCATGTAAAAATATTGACTGGATGCTAGCCAACATTAGTAAGGTTCTAAAGTTGTAAGACTTTGTCTCAAACGTGTGTCTCATCTTATCAACAACAATATTCCAAGTAGCTAATAATCGGTAAATCATAGTTCTTAGTGTAAAGAGTATAAACCACCTGTTGGATGTTTTCCTCACAGATGTGGGTAACAGATGCTTCCTGTGTATCCATCCTTAAAATTTCCCATCTAGACCAGAGGTTTCTATTTAACCTAATAAACTTTTTTTGTTTTGTTGTTTTCAGCTTTATTAAGCAGAGGAAACTTTTCTTCAAATCAAATCTTACATAAAAGTTTAAGGTGTAAACACAAAAAATCACTGTTGCTTAAACAGGAATGCAAGCTTCCTACTTAAGGAAAGGACAGAGACCCCCACCTACCAACTCCCAAGACTCCATCTGTTACGTCTCTACCAGAAATAATTCTTATTCCAACTCTATGCTGCCCCTAAATACTTCTGAATGTCATATGGGTTCCATAAAAACCAGCTTAAGTGACATTATATACTGGGTATTATTCCAATTACATTACATATTTTAATACACATACATGAACTCTATAAGGAGATACTATTGCTATCCTCATTTTACAGATGAAGAATCTAAGACACGTAGAAGTTAAATAACTTGCTGATAAATAAAAGCAGCTGATAAATGGTGGAACCTCAATTTGAACCTGTGTAGTGTGTCTTCAATCTGCCTGAATGTTGTAAATCACCAAAGTATTTTGCCTCTCTGATAAAAGTTTATATAGCTGAATATAATTGGCCAAATAAGAAGTATAAAATAATATAACTAATAAATTGATTTATAAGGCAAAATGTATTAACACTGAGAAAAATTTCTTTACCAGGCTGAGCTGATCAATACAAAATTATTTCAAATTCAGCAAAAATTTTAAATGAAAACATACTTATTTGTAACTCCTAAACATTGGCGTATATAAATTATGGGAATAGAGAAATGAAAACAGAATAGATTAATTAGAATAAAAGAAAGTAAACAGATCAACTGTATATGCAGAATGAATAGTTTACCAAGTTTTTTTTATATGTTTTGTTTGAGAAGGATGTGCTTCTCTTAACATTCTATGCAAAGAATACAGTATAAGCAAAACATACAAAGATGGAAAGGCAGAAGGCAGCTGGCAGTCATCTTTCTATGTTTTCTTATTAAAGTATTTAGATATACCAAGGAGCACAGAGCTATTCTCCTATTTCATATTACCAAGGGGGGCACTAAATGGCATTTGATTTACACAGAGGATAAACCTGTAAATTTCAACTAACACTGACATAATAACCACTACTATCATCAATGCTTCTAATTATTATGTGCTAAGCAGTGTTTTAAATGCCTTAGGTATACTAACTTATTTAGTTATATCATAACAGCTAGATGAGCCAGGTACGCATAATTATTACCTCTACTTTATGGATAAGGACACTGAGGGACCAAGAAGTTAAAGCAACTTACTGAAGTTCACCTGACTAGTAAGTGGTGGAGCCAGAATTTGAATCCAGGCTCCAGAGTCCAGCAGTTTTCAATCACTACTCTATACTACATCTTTCAAAGAAAATGAAACAAAATAAAATAACAAAAAAAAAAGTGTTCATTTTCAATAATTTACTTCAAGTACATTTTTAAAGTATGCATTTACTTACACTTCTGGAAATAGATTCAGTAAGTTGCCTTCCACCTAGTCTGTTGTTTCCCCTTATATATTTAACAAGAATGTAAAACACCAGTTATTGACTGGTACACACACACTTTCATATGAGATATTCTAAAATGTAAGAATCTATTGTTTAAAATATATACAACGTATAATAGAACCCTGCACCAGACATGTGACAGCCACTGTAAAATAACCACTATACAAAAGCACATTCCAGTAAAAATATGTGAACATGTACAAAGCAATTCTAATTTTTTTTAAAAAAAGCAAACAGCACCATTCAACAGTTACACCAAGAGTTGAAATACCGTGCAATCCAAAGAACTGTGAAATAGTAAATGCATACCTAATTTTCCCCTGTTCTGTCAGGTCTCCATCACTATGCAATATTGTTGTCAGTAATCTTAAGGTAGAAGTTCCTGATTTACTGTGATTATTTTTCATTCCAAGTAGCCACCGAACCATCATTTTAATAGCCTGAATCTATTTAAGAGACAAGTCAACAAATAAAACATTGGTACATTTTGAAAGAATTTCTGTATCAACTTTTTAAAAAAATAAAATGTATTTAGTGGATGCTTCTTAAGAAAAGAAAAAAATTCTTTTCTGTATATATGAAGATAATCTTAAATGTTTTAAATTAAAGATGTTTCAGACCTCCAAGAAAATGGCAAAAGAATGATTTGACTAAAGACTAGTTCGTTATTTGCTGTTTTAAAATGTTTTCCCAACATGCATTTGATCCTTTGGAAAATACAGTAAAATCATGCTTAACCTCTCTAATCAGAAAAGTTAAGTTCCCAACTACTAATTACATTTAATCTCTTCTGTCTAAAAAATGATACCACTCATATTTGTTCTACATTTTATAATTATGAAGTACTTAAAGTATTTTTACACCATTACTTCCTTTAATGTTTCCAAGAATTCTTTTGAACAAGTACATCTCTTTTTAAAATGATGTACAAATTATCTTTCACATATTATCTCAGCTTTTTACAGAGCTAAGGCTCAGACGCTAAGAGGGTCTTCAATAGTGTCTGGCTCACGGCAAACACTGAAGATCTCTTTCCTGGCCAGTTGGTAAGTATGCCTACCAACTGGTAAGTTGGTAAGTGGCCTACTTTCTAGTCCAGTGTTGCTTTCAAGTATACAAAAACTGCAGCTTGAGACCAATGCCGAGAAAAACAGGTTTATACTGAGGCTCAAAGTATCAAGCATCATTCATTGATGTAAAGGTGGGGCTACTGTACGAGTCTGCAAAACTAGCATCATAACCTCAAGCCAGAACAATGTGAAAAGGTAGTTCGTAATACAAACTATAAATACACACACACACACACACGCGCGCGCGAAGAGTTTATAAGAAATTACAGCTAGAAAATAACAATATTTAATATATTTATTCTTGGCCTTCACATCTTGGTAGTGGATTGAGATGAGGTCTACATTACAGGCCATAGATGGTTTTAATAAATCAAGTCTATACCAATGATGAGCAATCTTATAAAACTCCTAATTCAATAAATTATAGGCTGAATTTTTTAGAAATAAAAAGTTTTATTAAATCCCATGGAAAAGATGAACAGGTTTAAAATCTGAATTATCATCTTTACAGAATGGAGGAAAGTCCACAAAGACTAGCACTGCCTTTTGCCATCAGGGAAGCAGCTTTCAAATCTTTTTTTCCCCTCAAATTAGATTATGTGCAGCTGTCCACAAAATCCCAGCTTTCTCATTATTACCCTATAGTCTCACAGCACATGAGATGTCATACAGTAAACATAAATACTTGAGTGATTTTAATATCTCTGCAAGAGAAATTTTAACATCTCAAATATTACAATATGTTAACTATATTCAAATCAATAGAGCTATGCATATTACTCACTTTGACCATTGTCTCAGGAGATACTTCTTCATCTGGAACCCAAAGTTTAGTTGTCTTTTTCCCTGGAAGCTTAAAAAAAAAAAAGGACTTTAAAACATAAATATGAATCCTCCTTTTCAATTAGCACTTAGAAAATGAATGAAATCTGTACCTTCTGCAGTGACATTTGTTATATATGACTAAAGTACCTCATCTAACCCTATTTACTTAAAAAAAAAAAAAAAAAAAAAAAGGTTGAAAGGCATACCTTCACTAGCACCTATGTACAGCACTTACAGATCCATCACGATTGGTTCTTTCTAGGTGTGTGGTGGGACTAACTCTAACTTCTTACACATCACTCCCTTATTTAGCCCCTTTTGAGATTCAATTATTTAATGCAGGTGGCAAAAACTAGGACTTAAAAGGAAAAAAAAAAAAGCAGCCAAAAGGTGTACCTCTTAAACAAGAGGAAAGGTATTTAAAAAAAAAAAAAAATCTTGAGCTGGAGGGGTTTGTTTTTGCTTTCAGCACAACCCCAAACTAATCCTGAGGTGATCATGTGTAAGTACTCGTAAATAGGTGTTTACAGTAGTAACCAGGAAATTAAAATCAGATGGCAAAAGAGCTGAACCAATCTTGGAACACTTGAGATCCCATTTTTACCCTCATGTCAAGGTACAGTAATTGAATATCACCTCAGGTAACCCTCTGGCAACAAAACAGGTAGCCCTAACATACAAAAGGCAAACTCCCTCAAATACAAAGAGCTACAGATTCACATACAGTTTAGAACTCATTTCTTTCGTTGAGAAGTGCCTTCAAAGTATGAAGTAAAAATAATGAAAAAGGAATCATATTAGGTACACTGTGACGAAATTTCTAACTAAGGATGTCAAGATCCCAAAAGTTTCCATAGAGAAGCTACCAAAAGGAATAAAAAATAAACTTCAGATTTCTCAGCTGCAAGACCAGATGCCAAAAAAACGATGCTCTGATTTTTCAAGTGACTTGAAACACAGAATTCTAATATCCAAGAAACAGTACTGAAGAATGATCACTAGAATTCAAGACAGAAAGTTTCCAAATTACAATCCATGTTGAAAGAATTACTCAAAGATAACACTAAAATATTTAATTCACAAGAAAAAACTAAATTAATATAAACTACTACAAATACAAAGAAAAATGAAAACAAAAACCTTAAACCTTACATAAATAAGAAACTATCAGATACTACCAGAAACAACAGAGACTATCAGGTAGATTTATAAATAATAAAGCCAAAAAAGATACAACAAAAACAAATGACATATGAAATCTGAAAATTATGGGATGGAAAAATATACCAGTCAAGATGAAAAGCACTGAAGAGGATATGGACTTAAATGGGATACTGATATATTTTATCTTACAACACCAAATAAAATATAAAATTCACGAACGTTTATACAACTAGCAGAATAACAAAATAAACCAGAACAAACATGATTAAAAGCAGAAGATTGAAAACTTCATCACAGCAGAAGATGTGAATACACCTCTTTCAAAAACTGATAAGTTAGGATGAAAAAGGATAAATACCTAAAATGTAAGTAAATGTACAGAAATAAAATATGCAAGGATTAGAAAATAAAGCTGGCATTCTTTATAATTGACATAGTTAAAATAGAATTTAGCAAGAAAGATGGATATAAAATCAGAACTACCAAATAATTCACCTCATCAATCATAAACATAAAACATAATCCTAAAAACTTTATTCAGCGCCGAACGTAAGTTGTATGAGAGAAATTTAAAAATTTTTTTTTTAGAGAAAACTGTAAGACTTTAAGGAAAGACATCTTGTGGAAGGGCAAACAAATCAATGGAAAAGAACAGAGGCACTATAGGAGACATGAGTGGTAGCACTGCAGATTACTAGGAGATGGTAAGATATTTAAAAAACAGTGCTGGGAAATTTGGTAACCCTAAGATGCAGCAAAAATGAAATCCTTATATCATAGCATACAAAAAACAAGTAAATCAATTCCAGACGGATTGATTTTTGTGTGTGTAAAAAAAGAAAACCTTCGAACTTTTAAAAGAACATATGGGAGGCTATTTTCATGACGTCAGAGTAGGAAAAGATTACTTAAACAAGATGTAAAAAGTATTAACTACAAAAGAATAATGATAAATACAGCTACATTAAAAGTAGCAACTTTTGTTCAGGCTGGGCACGGTGGCTCACACCTATAATCCCAGCACTTTGGGAGGCTGAACTGGCTGGATCACGTGAGTTCAGGAGTTCGAGACCAGTCTGGCCAACATGGTGAAACCCTGTCTCTACTAAAAATACAAAAACTAGGTGGGCATGTTGGTGGGCGCCTGTAGTCCCAGCTACTGGGGAGGCTGAGGCAGGAGAATGGATTGAATGTGGGAAGTGGAGGTTGCAATGACAGAGATTGCACCACGGCACTCCAGCCTGGGTGACAGAGCAAGACTCTGTCTCAAAAAAAAAAAAAAAGACACACATAAATGAGGTTTTTACACATTTCATGATGGTATTATAACGTGCACCAGACAGAAGATTAATATAGGTAAAGATTACCTATGGGAAAAAAGCACCAAGGGGAATAAAAGGTAAAATACATCAAAAGGGAATTTCAGAAAGTAGGCAACATGAAGGGTGACTAGACATATAAACTTAATTAGTAACCACAGAAATGCATATTGGGACTATAATGAGCTATATTAGATTAGATACTGTATCTATTATTTTCTACCAACAGAGTATAACATTATTGCCAGATTTCTTAATAGAAAAATAAGTCTTAACAAATATTATAGAAAATGATTTGGAAAAAAGTGAAAAGTTCAATATGTCTATATACTATGATTCATCAACTTCACTCATAGGAATAAAACCTAGAGAAATTCTTGCTCATATGTAGCAGGGGGCTTCAACAGAAACATTCACAGCAGCACTGTCCAAGAGTAAAGAAATGGAAATATTCCGCAATCTACCAGAAGAATAAATAAACAGTATTTTCCACAGTGAAATTATAGAGTAACAAATGAATGAACCACAGTTAGATTTAGTAACAAAGATTATTCCTAAAAACAAATGTGGAGTGACAAAGGCAAATCGTCCAAGACTATATAGGGTGTGATATAATTCTTAGAAACCTCAAGAACAAGCAAAACTAAACAAGTATGTGGAAAATTTTGTTGTTGTCAGAGAATAACCCAAGATTCAAGAGAGTAGATATTAGGAACAGGGAGGAAATAGAAAGGATTGAAGAGTGATAAAACTCTAAGAACTCTAAGGAACTAACAGTTCATAGGTGTTCACTGTATTACGAAACATGTTATACAAATGTTACATATATTCCTTTGTACATATCAAATATACAATAAAACAAGACAAATTAATGGATTAAAAATGGTGAGCAGTTCTGTTTCTGACAAGATGTGACTAGGTTGCTCTGAACCAATTTTCATACTAAAACAAATGGAAAGGCTAGACAAAATATTTTTTAAAAATCAGTTTGAAGGGAACAGACAACTACCAAAGCAGTGAGAATTTGCAGCGCAAAGTTTCAAATGAGGAGGGAAAGCAAAAGATTTGAGTCTGGCATTGAGATTAGTTTTTTCACATAGACGATTAATGATTCTGAAAGTGAAAGAAAGGGGGATGAGAAGTTGAGCAAAGCTTTTCTGTCACAGAGCTGGAAGAACAAGATTAAGAATCCTGAGCCCATTAAAAAGTAAAGTCCTTGTTAAACAACCGGGACTTCTGGGTGGATCCCAGACAAATATACTCTAGACATAAGGTGACCAGAAAAAAAAAACAAGCTTGTGAAAAACTGAAGCCAAACTTTCATCTTCATTGGATGGAAGTGATGTTGACAATGGCTTAACTGCCAGATAGAAACAAAAGTAAAATTCTGGAAGAATATAAACTCATCTGAAGCCTCACATTATCTCAACAACTTTTCATACAAAAAGTCTATCAATCAAAAGCAATATATGTACAAGATAAAATTTGACCAGAAATTTACAGAAAAAAGTAGACAAAAGTTGTAAGAGATCAAGATGATAAGCCTAACAGATATAATCTTAACATAATTAAGATGTTTCAAGGATTTAATGACAAGCAAATTCTGCAGCAAAACAAAGAGCTATGTTTAAAAACTATAGAATTACAGAATTGAAGTATATGTGTACATATGTGAAATTAAGAATTCAATGCATAAGCTTTACATACGATTAGACAAAATTGAAGAGAGTGAACTCAAAGACAGGTCAGAAAAAAACAAAAACTGAAGCATGAGGAGGCTGGTAGAAAAGTACAGAAAAAGTGTGTCAGACAGCTAGACCACAGCAAAAAAAAAATGTACGTTTAAAGTGTGTTAACAGAACTGCAGTAAGAAAGGAAAGAGAATATGAAACAGAAATCATATATGTAAAGATAATGCCTGAAAATTATTTAAAATTTGTAAAACACTTTAAGCTATACATACAAGAAGAGCTATAAGCCCCAAGTACAATAACCATAAAGGAAAGTATACCCAGACACATCATAGTAAAACCGGAAACCAATGGAAAATAGAAAAGACACATTCATTCTCAGCAAAAAGACAGAAGACCTTCAGAGGAACAAGACTGTCAATAAACCTCAAGAAAAAAGAAAATGGAAAATAGAATAATATATTTGAATCATTGATGGGGGAAAATATGCCAGTCTAGAATTCTTAACCCAAAGAAAGCATCCTTTAAAAAATTAAGGTAAAATAAAGATTTTTCCAGACAAACAAAAACTGACAAAATTCATTAATGGAAATCCAAACTAAAAAAAAAGTACTAAAGTCGTTCTTTAGATAGAAAGAAAATCATTACATAGAAAGGAATGAAAAACAAAAGGAGAAAATATGTTAGCAAATCTAAATAAATATTAACTGCATAAAATAACAGCTGTAATAGAACTGTGTGAACAAGAGCACAAAAAAGCACCAAGGAATAAAGGGGATTAAAGTATTTTGAGGTTCCTTGTGCTATACTGAAAGTTCAAAGCAGACCAGTTGACACTGGCCTTTAATAAGTCAAAAGTCCATGTTGTAATTTTTAGGAAAACTACTAAAATAATAGTAAAGTGCAAAACAGACTGGTAAAATGAAATAAAAATATTTAATCAAAAATAAGAAAAGAGAAAAATGAACACAACTGACAGGACAAACTGAAAATAAAAAATCAGGTGGCAGATTAACCCAAATATCACTACTTACATTATGTTTACCTTTGGGAGTAGAAACTTTATCTCATGTTTCTTTTAATTCTCCAGAGAACCTAGTACAGTGCTGTCACGGCAGATACAAAATAACTGAAGACTAACAAAACCATTATTTCCTCTCCCAATGTAGGGAAAAGAACTTAACATAGAAAAAGGAACAACTATAATCATGACAACCATACTATGAGCTGGTTTACCAATCTGCATATTTTTAAAAATAGATGTCCTGTCAAAAATTAAACCCCTGAAATAGAGAGCATCAGGTTATATTTTGTATTTATCAAGGAATATATTTGAGGTCATAAACCTATTCTCAACTAAAAAGATGTTTCAATGTGGTTTCACTTATAATGGAGACAAGGCTTATTTTTGTTAAACAGGAAAACCTAAAATCAAGGCAGTTAAATGGAAGTATTATTGATATCATTTCACTTCTTTCCTTGTTGAATAAAATTCCAAAAGTTAACATTACAAAGAACATGAATCTAAAAAATATAAATTACCCGATCATTCATGAGAAGATCCTTCACAATGAAAGTAGCTACCAAAGATTTCAAAGGAGCAGCAAATTGATCAGGTGCAAGGAGAGCAATATGACCAATAGTAACCAATGGTGTTATGAGATGTTCCAGGTTGCTTGGATCTAGGCTCTTATGCAGAGGCTGAAAATGAGGAGAGGAAAATATATTTCAACTCTACACATATGCAAATAAACTGTTTACATATTTCATTTTCAAATTACAAAATTGTAAATTACAAATTTTGTAATTTATTTTGTAATTCAAATTACAAAAATTTATTTTGTAATTCAAATTATAAAAAGTACAAAAACTACAAAAATTTCAATAAATATACACAGTATAAGTATTAACTCAAGATTACATTTAGACTTCTATAGGTTATCTATGTCCAGAAGGCATCAGGTTCAAACATTTTCAGTTTTGCCCAATTCAGTTTAGAGGTAGGGTAAAGAAATATTTCAACATGGACTTCATAGCGTATAGTTTATGACCATATACATGAAACTGTTAGAGACTGCTAGGGTTCACCAATATCCACTTCAATTTCCTGGGCAGAGGGATGACTCCACTAGTAGCTTCCTGTGCAGTTGGTAAGGATGTATGAATGAGTTCTGGTCAAGGGAGTGGGAGTAAAATGAAGTATGCCACATATGCACTGAGGTAGGTATGAGTAGTGTGTCTTCTCCACAGGCTGTACTCACTGGCTGGCTTGATGCCAAGGATCCAGTGGGATTTAAAGAGAAGTCACTAATCAGAATGAGTCTGTGTCCCTAAGCCACTGATTAGAGAGGGTCATTCATACACCCACTGGGCTTTTCAGAAGCAAGAAATAAGCTTTTACTACATCTAGTCACTTGAATTTGGGGGTCTTCATTATAGCATCAAATATTAAATACCATAACAAATAAAATGATTTTTGCTTTTCTGATAGGAAACCCAACCATTAATATGCATTTTACCATGACAAAAGAATGAAGAAGCTCTTCAAATACTCATATAAAATGATACCAGAAATAAACTATTGTTAAGGCTGGGCGCAGTGACTCACACCTGTAATCCCAGCACTTTGGGAGGCCAAGGCAGGTGGATCACCTGAGGTCAGATGTTCCACAGGAGTTCCAACATGGTGGAACCCCGTCTCCACTAAAAATACAAAAATTAGCCAGGCTTGGGGCATATGCCTGTAGTCCCAGCTACTCAGGAGGCTGAGGCAGGAAAATCGCTTGAACAAGAAAGGTGGAGGTTAAAGTGAGCAGAGATCACGCCACTGTACTCCAGCCTGGATGACAGAGCAAAACGCCACCTCAGGAAAAAAAAAAAGAAAGAAAACAAAACAAACAACGTGTGTGTGTGTGTGTGTGTGTGTGTGTGTGTGTGTGTGTGTGTGTTTTAGTTTTCGAAATCAGAAGGGTGACTAAAATATGCCATTGGCATAAAGAGAGAAAGGGGAAACAAAATATGTGTGTGCATGTGCATATTTATATGCCCTTACTTGTATATGAGTAAAATATATCTGGAAAAGTACATTTAGAAACTAGTAACAATGGCTCTGCCTCTGGGAAAGGAAACTAAGTGGCTGGGGATACATGGGTGGGGGAACTTTTCACTGTATATTCTTTTTTGTATCCTTCTGATTTTGAAGCAGGTGAATATATTTTCTATTAGACATTTTAATGCCACATTTTAATGAAAAACTGGTCTCTATTCTCCCACACAGAACACTAAGAATTGTAGGCTTGAAAGGCAATACAAAACTGTTCTTCCCAACAACTTAGGGCAATATGAGGCTTCATTTAGTCAAAAAATACATTTAAAGGAGTCTACTTCTTGCTATTCAAGACTTCCCTCAGTACTTCCATTGCACATCTTGCAAGCCTATTGTCCATATTATAAACAAAAATATCACAGTATAGTTTTTTCAATTAGCTTACTATAAGTTTGATAATTTTCCATAACAAAACCATTTCTAAAAAGCAAAATTAATGGCCAGGCCCTAGATTAGTGGAACCTCAAAAATGCCAGATATTTCTCTTAAACCTTTTTTCAGGAAGCCAGCCAACCACGTTACATAGTAATAGGACTATAGAGGTTCTTGTAAAGATAAAACAGCAGATACAACATCAAAATGAAAACAAAACTACTCTGAAATTCAGCTGCTATCAGTGTTTCTCTCATCACCATTGAAAGGAAAAGGAGAGCAACCAACAACAACAACAACAAAAAACTTTCCTATAAATTAACATCAATTTATTGAAGCCATTCTCATATACAAACACAGACTACAGAAAATATCTCCATCCCCAAATACACAAAAACTAAACTTTCTGCTATCTAAAGGAAAGATGGTGTTTGAAAGATAAACTACTTTTCTTTCTCCTTCAGGTCTTGAACATAATACATGAAAATATGACAAAAGTACCACAAGAGTTTCTAAAACAAAGATATTAAGTCGAAGTACTTATGGTAAGGAGCGTCAGAATAATTTCTAAATTGTTTTGGCTTTACTCAAGGCTTTTGAACTAAAATTACAAAGTAGGATTTTATGAATTTTCTGCTTAGCTTTTATTTGCAATAGTAATGTTAGCATTAGGTCCTAATTACAATAGGCAGCAATAAAATTGCAATGCCTGGGTAAAGTAATGTGGTAAAATGTGGGTAAAATAATATAAAATATATATTGAAAAGACACTTTATATCTGACAAAATTAGGTCAGTTATAAAAGTATAAACTTACTTTACATTAACAATTAGTACTGATTTACAAAACCTTACACTTCAATAGTTTCTCAAACAGAATTCAAATTTTTTGATCCTATAAATTGAGAGAATAATCACCTGTTACCTACTATCTGTAACTATGATTTTATATGTAATTACCTGATAACAAAAAATAGTCTCCAAATACAAACATATAAACCAATGTACAAAAATATACAATGCTTGACTTCTGAATCTTAGTTATCATTAAACTTTTGAATACTGAGATATTTTCATATTTTAATACATATCAATGTTGATTTTACTGATTCAAACTCTGAAAATATATTACAAAATGATGCATCACCAAATGGGAACATTCCATTAAATCATCAATATTGGTTTTGTAACTATGACATATGAAACAAACAAGAAAATTTTTTTCTCATTACCTCAAATATCTGTGCAAACTGGGTCTCTTTACTAGAAAATATCGCATGGATACAATGAATGGCATATTTGGCTTGACGGGGGGGTCCTTTTTTAGATTTGTGATGTAGAACAGGAAGCAAGGCTCTATAAAAAAAAAATCAAAGAAAAACAATAAACCAGAAAAATCAACAAGACTTCTGCTAGATACTTTAATATTTGTATTTTTAAGTAATGATTTACAAGGACAGAAGAAGTCACCAAGATTTACTCAAACTCACTTTCAAAAGCCTATGATTTTGCTTTATAAATATTTATATTAAAAACATAATCCAAATGCAAATGTGGTGGTTTTTACTTTTTATTTACCAATAGCAAACACTAACAAGGCTGGTGACCCACACTCTCCTGTTAATGTCGCTTCCAACAGGCCTTTCCCTTTTTATTCTTACTGCTATCATTCCAACTAAGTTTCTGCCACCTTACACATGTACAAAACTGACAGTCTCTTCTTTCTCAAGTCTCTGCCTCTTCCAATTCACCTTTCATTTTGTGCCAGGGTAAGCCACAAAAAGGAAAATCTGATTAAACAATGCTTATTAAGCAATATTACATGACAGGGACTAGTAAAAGGCTCCAATATTTAACCTAATGCTACTAGCATTTTAGGGACAAGATAAATTAACAAAATATATGTTATGTTACTGTGAGAACTGCTACAGAGAAAAATTTTTTTAAAGATGGAGGATAGAAATAGGAAACAGGGAGGGAGGTATAAGAGAATTACAATTTTAAACAGAAGATCTCCCTGATAAAGAAACATGTGAGCAGAGTTCTGAGGGAGGTACTGAATAAGTCATGCAGCCACCTGGAAGAACATTCATGCATCGTGTTATTTTATAACTCAAACATTTAAAATGAAAAATGAATAAAGGAGCTCTTAAACTATTATACAAACATCTCAAGGCAAAAGAAACTTCCATATCTTCCTCATTGCCTAATACCAACCCAGTGCTTATCACACTAAGAGTAGAGTCTCACAAAAGATACTAAAGGTGAAGTATAATTAAAAGAAATATATTCCTAACATGTAAAGGCCTAAAAATGGAGAATGAAAAGACCAACAAAAACACAGAAAAACACGCTAGATAGAAAAAGGTAAAACGTTCTTTAATATTATACTGAGTGGGCAAAAGTTGGAAGCGTTCCCTTTGCAAATCAGCACAAGACAAAGATGCCCTCTCTCACTACTCCTATTCAACACGGTATTGGAAGTTCTGGCCAGGGCAGTCAGGCAAGAGAAACAAATAAAGGGTATTCAAGTAGGAAAACAGGAAGTCAAATAGTCACTCTTTGCAGATGACATGATTGTATATTTAGAAAACCCCATCGTCTCAGCCAAAAGACTCCTTAAGCTGAGAAACAACTTCAACAAAGTCTCAGGATACAAAATCAATGTGCAAAAATCACAAGCATTCCTATACACCAATAAAAGACAGAGAGCCAAATCATGAGTGACCTCCCATTCACAATTGCTACAAAGAGAATAAAATACCTAGGAATACAACTCACAAGGGACGTGAAGGACCTCTTCAAGGAGAACAACAAACCACTGCTCAAGGAAATAAAATATGACACAAACAAACGGAAAACCATTCCACGCTCATGAACAGGAAGAACCAGTATCATGAAAATGGCCATACTGCCCAAAATAATTTATAGATTCAATGCTATTCCCATCAAGCCACCATTGACTTTCTTCACAAAACTAGAAAAAACTACTTTAAATTTCATATGGAACCAAAAAAGAGCCCAGATAGCCAAGACAATCCTAAACCAAAAGAACAAAGCTGGAGGCATCACGCTACCTGACTTCAGACTATACTACAAGGCTACAGTAACCAAAAAAGCATGGTACTGGCATCAAAACAGATATACAGACCAATAGAACAGCACAGAGGCCTCAGAAATAACACCACACATCTACAACCATCTGTTCTTTGACAAACCTGACAAAAACAAGCAATGGGGAAAGGATTCCCTATTTAATAAAGGTTGCTGGGAAAACAGGCTAGCCGTATGAAGAAAACTGAAACTTGACTCGTTCCTTATACCTTACACAAAAATTAACTCAAGATGGATTAAAGACTTAAATGGAAAACCGAAAACCATAAAAACCCTAGAAGAAAACCTAGGTAAAACCATTCAGGTCATAGGCATGGGCAAAGACTTCATGACTAAAACACCAAAAGCAATGGCAACAAAAGCCAAAATTGACATATGGGATCTAATTAAACTAAAGAGCTTCTGCACAGCAAAAGAAACTTATCATCAGAGTGAACAGCAACCTACAGAATGGGAGAAAGTTTTTGCACTCTATCCATCTGACAAAGGGCTAATATCCAGAATCTACAAGGAACTTAAACAAATTTACAAAGAAAAAAAAACTCCATCAAAAAGTGGGTGAAGGATATGAATAGACACTTCTCAAAAGAAGACATTTATGTGGCCAACAAACACGAAAAAAAGCCCACCATCACTGGTCATTAGAGAAATGCACATCAAAACCACAATGAGATACCATTTCACATCAGTTAGAATTGCGATCATTAAAAAGTCAGGAAACAACAGATGCTGTTGGAGAGGATGTGGAGAAATAGGAACGCTTTTACACTGTTGGTGGGAGCATAAATTAATTCAACCATTGTGGAAGACAGTGTGGTGATTCCTCAAGGATCTGGAACTAGAAATACCAATTTGACCCAGCAATCCCATTACTGCGTATATACCCAAAGGATTATAAATCATTCTACTATAAAGACATATGCACACATATGTTTACTGCAGCACTATTCACAATAGCAAAGACTTGGAATCAACCCAAATGCCCATCATTGAAAGACTGGATAAAGAAAATGTGGCACATATACACCACGGAATACTATGCAACCACAAGAAAGAATGAGTTCATGTCCTTTGCAGGCACATGGATGAAGCTGGAAACCATCATTCTCAGCAAACTAACACAGGAACAGAAAACCAAACAACACATGTTCTCACTCATAAGTGGGAGTTGAACAATGAGAACACATGGACATAGGGAAGGGAACATCACACACCGGGGCCTGCCATGGGGTCGGGGGCAAGAGGAGGGAGAGCATTAGGACAAATATCTAATGCATGTGGGGCTTAAAACCTAGATGACAGGTTGATGGGTGCAGCAAACCATCATGGCACATGTATACCTATGTTACAAACCTCCACATGTATCTCCGAGTTCTGCACATGTATCTCAGAACTTAAAGCTTAACTGTTTTTAAAAAGACATACAAATTACCCTAAAATGTATGAAAAACTGTTTACCATCACACATTTTTTAAAAAATTGTAACAAGAGGACTTCCGCTTCAGATTACAATGGTGTAACTAAGACTATTTACTCTCCTGCCTTAAACGCCCAGAAGAGATAAATATGCTAAAGGTTTCAGACACTAGGGAACAGGCAGCAGAGAAATGTGATCCCTGATAAATGAGAAACAAACCAGAAGAGTTTTACACCTGCCCAGCTTATTGCATGGAAGTATTAAGTAGTTTCCAGGCTGTAGTACAAGTGACCCAAATAGAGCCTGGGTTGAGGGAGATAAAGATGAGAGTTCAGGGAAGCCAAGGAAGCTCTGATTTCTAGAGCACAATACCAGAAAGGAAGGAGTTACAAAGGGAAAGGCAGCATGAGCTCTGCTAATCTGCAGAGGCTATCCCTGAGTCTTTGGTTAGATAATGATCCTCACTCATATTAGGAGGAAAAACTACCTGAGACCAGAAAAAGGACCATGGAAAACAGTAGAACAAAAAATTCCCTCAACACAAACAGGGCGGGTAATTACTCATTCCCACCAGTCCTACTAGAAAGCCCTTACAATATACAAACAGGAGAAAAAGTACTCAATAGAAATAGACCCAGAAATGACCATAAGTGATGGAATTTGGGTAGACATTGAAACAGCTGTTACAAAAAAACACTATGCTACACAGACTCAAGAAGGTACAGTAAACCAGGAACGCAGTGCTAGAAATGAAAAATACAAAATATAAATATATATAAAAATATTTAAAAAGAACACAAATAGAATTACTAAATACAAGAAATACAATAGAAATGGAAAATAAACTGATGGAATTAAAAGCAGATTACACATTGCAAAAGAAAAGTATCAGTGAACTTGAAGACATAGCAATAGAAACTATCAAAATAAAATGAGAGAGAAAAAAGAGCAAGAAAAAAATAGTAACACAGCAGCTGTGATCTATAAGACAGTATCAAGCAGTCAAAAATACTTGTAATTGGAGTCCCAGAAAACAAGAAGGCAGATGGAGAGAATAGGAAAAAAAAAAAGTATTCAAAGTAATAATGGCCAATTTTTTTCCCAATCTGATTAAAATAAACTTAGAGATCCAAGAATCTCAACAAACCTAAAGCAGAAAAAAGAGAAACCATTTCAAGGTACGTTATTATTCATATGGTTAAAAATTAGTGAAAAATAGGAAAATCTTAAAAGCAGTGCAAAAAACAGAGAAACAAGGAGTGATATAACACTTTTCATCAGAATCTTCAATCCAGAAGATAATGGAGTGGCATCTTTTAAATACTAAATGAAAATAACTGTCAACCTAAAATTCTATTCCAAGTAAAATTATCTTTTAAAAATAAGGGAAAAATAAAGACTTTTTCAGACCAAAAAAATTCACTACAAGCAGAATTCACTACAAAATTCACTATGAAGAGAACTATACAACAAGAAATATTAAAGAGTTCTTCCAGAAGAAAAATGATACCAGATGAAAATATGAATAGACATCCAACAAATGAAAAGTGACAGAAATGGTTATTATGTGTGTAAAAGAAATTTGTCATTATTAATCTAAGATATACTAGAGTAAAAATATCAAAAACATATTATGGGATTTACAACATATATAAAAACAAAACATAAGACAACAAAACTTAAAAGACTGGAGGAAATGGGCATGGAAGTATAGTGCTGTAAAGTTTTTACACATTAGTATAATTCTATTGGATGCAGATAAACCAATAGTAAAGATAAAATCATAATACTTGATTAATCTCAAGAAAAGCAGACATAAAGAACA